CCTTGATTAGAAGGCTCCTCAGCTCCTCCTCGCTTTCAGCCATCAGAGTGGTGTCATCTGCATATCTGAGGTTGTTAATGTTTCTTCCAGCAATTTTCACCCCAGTAGAATCATAGAATCATGGAATTATAGAGTTGGAAGAGACCTCATGGGCCATCCAGTCCAACCCCCTGCCAAGAAGCAGGAATATTGCATTCAAATCACCCCTGACAGATGGCCATCCAGCCTCTGTTTAAAAGCCTCCAAAGAAGGAGCCTCCACCACACTCTAGGGCAGAGAGTTCCACTGCTGAACAGCTCTCAGAGTCAGGAAGTTCTTCCTAATGTTCAGATGGAATCTCCTTTCTTGCAGTTTGAAGCTATTGTTCCATGTCCTAGTCTCCAGGGAAGCAGAGAACAAGCTTGCTCCCTCCTCCCTGTGACTTCCTCTCACATATTTATCATGTCTCCTCTCAGCCTTCTCTTCTTCAGACTAAACATGCCCAGCTCTTTAAGCCACTCTTCATAGGGCTTGTTCTCCAGACCCTTGATTATTTGTCGCCCTCCTCTGGACATATTCCAGTTTGTCAATATCTCTCTTCAATTGTTGTGCCCAGAATTGGACACAATATTCCAGGTGTGGTCTAACCAAGGCAGAATAGAGGGGAAGCATTACTTTCCTAGATCTAGATGTTGTGAACCCAACATCTATGAGGGTTGAATGAAAAGTAATGCCTCCACCTTCGTTACTTGGATTTGGATGGGAATATTTTAATAAATCAAATGTAGAAATAATCCTCTTTAACTTGCTTGAAATTTCTCTCTGAGTGATACGACGATCGTCCTGAATCAGTCAACAGTTTGCTTGTGAAACCCGGAGGTTGCTGTCACAGGACATCCAGCTTTTTGTTTGTTCCTACCTCAACATCTTTAAACTTACTCGCCCAACGACGCACAGTACTCACAAAAAACACAATCACCACAAACACCTTGCATTCTCTGATGTATCTCCTTTGGGGTGACACCTTCTGCTATCAAGAATTCAATGAAGTCACAAAGAGTCAGAAAAGACTGAACGAATGAACAACAACACAATCAAAGAGCATTCTGAACTCCACCAGCGATGGAATTGAACAAAACTTGGCACACAGAACTCCCACGACCCACAGAAAATACTAGAAGGGTTTGCTGGGCATTGACCTTGAGTTTGGGAGTTGTAGTTCACCTACTTCCAGACAGCACTGTGGACTCAAACAATGATGGATCTGGACCAAATTCTACACGAATACTCAATATGCCCAAATGTGAACACTGGTAGAGTTTGGGGGAAAAAGAATCTTGACATTCGGGAGTTGTTGTTGCTGGGATTTATAGTTCACCTACAATCACAGAGCATTCTGAATCCCACCAACGATAGAATTAGGCCAAACCTCCCACACAGAACCCCCATGTGTGCCACAGCAACGCGGGGCAGGGGCTGGGTAGTGTGTGTGTGTGTGTGTGTGTGATATATATATATATATATATATATATATAGAGAGAGAGAGAGAGAGAGAGAGAGTAGAGCCTTCTACATAAGACACCAACCTAATGAAGGTCACGCATTTCAATGGTGGCAGCACAAATCACTTTGCCTCCTCAGAGGTCTTTGGGGGCCACACGGTGTGGCCTTCCCCTCTCCCACAATGAGGTGATATAATTCCTACAAGTGAAAGAGAATGGGCATCATCACTCTCGATCTGCCTGCCTGCCTTGCTCTCCTGAACACCCAATTCTATCAGTGCTTTGATTAAAGAGACAAGACAGGCTTGGATGGATTTGTCAATTTTAATTGATTCTTTTTGATTCCACATTTCCTGTGTGCATCTCTGCTGAGCGCCATCAAGTGCCCAGCTCGGCCCCAAAAGCAGGGCCGAAGAAACATCCATCCTCACTAACAGTGAGGCAAAGCTAAAAGAAAACAATGAAGTCTCTGCGCTCCATTCAGAACAAGAAGCCAATCATCTGGGAGAAAACCAGATCAGGGAGGGAGGGAACTGTCATCAGCAAAGAATCAGTCAGAAGAGTGGAAAATGTGGCTGGGCTTATGGCTTGATTTGTGTCTTCTTGTGCAAGGATAGGCAACACATGGTCAGTTGTAATATGCTGTTGGATTGCAACCCCTATTACACACACACTCATTGATAGGACTGATGGAAATCAGAGTCCAACATCATTTGGAGAGCCACAGTTGCCCAGCCCTGCATTTCTGATGAAGGGAGAAGAATGAAGTTCAGTGCAGTTAAGGGATGGGATTTTCAATACTCTGATCTTAAAGAGTATTTCCAAACCTGAGATGAGTGAGACAAGTTGTGTCATATACACAACAGATTCAGTCTAGAGTACCATTTGCATGTTCCACTAAGAACTGCAACAGCAGGCCTGCCTCGATTAGGACTAGTTTCATCCTAAACCTATTTTGGGTGCTGAATAAGCATCAGCTAAACAGGATGAAAATTGTGTGAATGCTTAATTTTCCTGTTTAAGGAGCTCCATTGGCTGCCGTTCATTTTCCAGTCCTAATTCAAGGTGCAGGTGCTCACCTACAAAGCCTACCTGCATGACCACATCTCCGTATAGGAACCCACACGATCCCTCCATTCATCTGGAGAGGCCCTGCTCACGATCCCACCTGCGTCACAAGCGCATTTGGTGGGGATGAGGGACAGGGCCTTCCCTGTGGTAGCCCCCCGACTCTGGAACTCTCTCCCCAAGGACATCAGACAAGCCCCAACGTTGGCAGTCTTTAGGAAGAGCTTGAAGACCTGGCTGTTCCACTGTGCCTTTCCAGAATAGGAAACTCCCAGCATCATGTCCCATACGCACTTAACTAGAGATTTAAGATTGTCCGCACATCGCACCGACCCGAAAATCTTTACATTTCACTTGTCATGTCCAGCACTTATAATTTTATTCATTGCATTTGGCCCGGCCCTAGTTTTAAATGTGTCATGATGTATTGTTTTAATGTTTCACTGTTACTGCTTTAATGTTTATTGGTTTGCTTTATGAGTTTTATTGTTGTATTTGTTATGCTGTTGTTTGTTGAGGGCCTTGGCTTTTGTAAGCTGCACCGAGTCCTTCGGGAGATGTTAGCGGGGTACAAATAAAGATAATAATAATAATAATAATAATAATAATAATAATAATAATGGTTCATTTTATTATTGTAGAGCAGTGTTTCTCAACCTGTGGGTCCCCAGGAGTCTTGACCTACAATTCCCAGAAATCCCAGCCTGTTTATGGGAGTTGAAGGTCAAAACATCTGGAGACCCACAGGTTGAGAAACACTGCTGTAGAGGCTCATGATGGAGACCACCTAGTCACGGCTCCTATGGAAGAATCCTTACACCAGAGACAGAATCAAGCAATCCTTGGATTGAGAGTCCCAGCAGCCCTAGTTAGCGTCACCAATATGTGAGGCGCTGAGGTGCAGCGGCATCTAAAGGCCCCCATCATACCCATCCCGGGTGTATTTCAAGGGAGCTCAAGACCCAGTTCCCACACTAAAAACCTTCACCATTATATGATCATCAGAACTATAGTCTCAGTATGAAACTCATAGACATGACACAACCCACAGGGTGGCAGAAGCACTGATATCAAATTGGTTAGCCAAAAGATATCCCACCTAGACGTGGCGAAAAAAGAGAAAGGAAGTGTATAAAAATAAAACTTGTTTTATTGAAAACAGGCCACTACACTAAAGAGTTTTGAAAAGGTGTTATTTTCAGCTCCCCCCCCCCCCAAGACCCTTTGACTTTGGGAGGAGTCAAATCCCTAACGCTGATACAAGGAGCAGCCAGTTTGGCTCCAGAATGGCCACTGGACCCTTCCTGCCACCAAGTGTGGCTGCTTTGCTCATGTAGGAAGCTTACAATATTGCTGAAGATCGTCACCTACTGCTCTGGGGATTGGCAAAGAGCAGGAGGCCCAATGTCCCTGGACTGCAGATCCCATAAACAGCAGAGTTCTTGTTGAGGGATGATGAGCACTGCCATTTAACCCATACCAGTAGTGGCTTGCATGGAGAAGGAGTGAGGAATTTGGCCTGGGTTTGAGCCTGAACTTTGAAAAGAGCGATTTAAGACACAGGGGCCTATCTGCAAAATAGGTTGGAAGCCTTGGAAGGCTTATTTAAAAGACTGCGTAAAACCTAGAGCAGATTCACCACCCCACTCAAAGGGAGTGAGTCCTAAGTACATCCTGAGAGTCACATTTTACTCACCCTGATGCTGCTATATTTGCAGAAATTTTATGCTGGTTGCAACATTTTTTAGAATACTTTTTGTCCCAAAATGATCTCTAGAGAGTGTTAGCACCAATGTTTAAACTGGAAGTGACATCCATTCACTTCTTGCTGTTTACAAGCATCTCTCCTGGAACTAAAATGACACAGCAAACCCTTAAAATGTAGTGAAAATGCCCCAGATGGCCTTTAGACGGTGTTGTTGTTTTGGAGAGAGCAGGTGCAGTGGAGGTACAGACCTATACGTTCTCCTGGGGGAGCTCATGTAGCCTCTACCCTTCCACCTGATCTATGAACCTGTGTGCAACGATCAATTCCAGACTCACACTTCCATCCCCTCTCTTTAGATAGATGGATAGATGGATGGATGGATGGATAGATGGATAGATAGATAGATAGATAGATAGATAGATAGATAGATAGATAGATGGATGGATGGATAGAGAGATGGATAGACAGATGGATAGATAGATAGATGGATAGATAGATAGATGGATGGATGGATGGATGGATGGATGGATGGATGGATGGATGGATGGATGGATGAATAGATAGATGGATGGATGGATGGATGGATGGATGGATGGATAGATGATAGATAGATAGATAGATAGATAGATAGATAGATAGATAGATAGATGTCAGTGGTTCTCAACCTGTGGATCCCCAGTGTTTTGGCCTCCAACTACCAGAAATCTCCACCTGTTTACCAACTGTTAGGATTTCTGGGGAGTTGAAGGCCAAAACATCTGGGGACCCACAGGTTGAGAACCACTGATATAGGGGGTGAGAGAAACTAAGAGACATGACACTTAAGGAGCAGTGGTTTCATCTTTCCAATCCCTGACACGACCATATGACTCTGTTTGGTTAGCTCTCTGAAATGCCTTGCTGGTAGTGGTGTGAAGGGTCCACTGGCTATTTTGGAGCTGTTCTGACCATTCTCTTAGGCCTGATAAAGAGGAACCACCCGCTCTATGGCTCTCCTGCAGATGGGGCAATTGCGGTTGGGCAAAGCCTGGAAGCAGTCAAAACAACAGCAGACGTGGCCGCAGGGCAGGAGCACACACTCCCGGCGGTTTGTAAGGCAGATGACACAGGGATTTTCGGGCGGCTCCGCATTCTGGTCCATGTTACCTTGGCGCCTGAGGTCTTCAAATTCTCGCTGCTGAGCCTCCTGCTCCTGCCTGTATCGGCGGAGGCGGTAGAAACGCCTGAGGGCATGGAGGATGGCAGCGACGGCTACCAACCCACAGATCACAGTAGCCCACTTCCAGAAGTTGCTGACCGACTTCACGTCAGCCAGCAACGTTTGCCAGTCACCAAGACACAAGAAGTAGTCATTGCCATCGGTGGCTGGCTGCAGGTGGAGGGACCCATCTGGATGAAGTGTCAGTTGACCAATGCCGGTGAGGCTGCTGCCCACCAAGAGCATCTCCTCTGTCTCCAGGAATCCCTTGGGCTTTTCTCCACTCAGGTAGTGGCCCAACAGGTCCGTGAAGCCTGGGGAGGTCTGCTGGAAGCGCTCATACACGGTCTCCAGGGGAAGGCTGACAGCATCAAGGGGTGATTCCACACTCACTTGCCCCCCAAATTCCTTGCCGCCGGGGGATGCCAAGACAAAAGGGACGGTGTGGACCTGCTCCAGCACCACCCGCTCACTATCCGTCCTGCATGAAGAACAAAGCACTGGAAATAGGGTAGCCAGGCTGAACACAAGAGATTAGCACCTGTCTCTTTAATGATTGGCACCAGGATTGTGGCCCAGCTGGCTGAGTGTCAGCTGCAATAAGATCACTCTGACCAAAAGGTCATGAGTTCGAAGCCAGCCAGGGTTGGAGTGGGTTTCCAACCAATTGTGTGTAGCCTGTTGTCGACCTTTGCAACCCGAAAGACAGTTGCATCTGTCAAGTAGGAAAATTAGGTACCACCTTAAAGTGTGGGGAGGCTAAATTAACTAATTTATGAGGCCATAAAAAAAGACTCCAGCAAAGCACTCCAGCAAAAAAGCATGCGGGGAATGCGGAAGTACTTCATCAGTGTTACAGATGGACGATGAAAGCGACAGCTCCCCTGGCGGCCACAAAAAGTTAAACAGCCTCTGTGTATGTCTGTATATGTTGTATGTTAAAATTGGCATTGAATGTTTGCCATATATGTGTACACTATAATCCAAAAGTGGCAGGCTCAAACCCAGAACCTCAACCAATGGCTGATACCAAATGAGAGATTCCCTCCTGGGCACACAGAAGACTGGGCAACTTGGAAGGTGCTGAACAGACTGCGCTCTGGCACCACGAGATGCAGAGCCAACCTTAAGAAAGTGGAATCCATGACATGCGAGTGTGGAGAAGAGCAAACCACTGACCACCTGCTGCAATGCAACCTGAGCCCTGCTACATGCACAATGGAGGACCTTCTTGCGGCAACACCAGAGGCACTCCAAGTGGCCAGATACTGGTCAAAGGACATTTAATCCACTACCAAGCTTGCAAACTTTGTGTTTTGTCTGTTTGTTTGTTTGTTAAAAAAATGCAACGCAACTGTTTGGTCTGCTCCTGACATGATAAATAAATAATACTCTGCTATACATTCATGGGGAGAGTCTTTTGTCAATAAGCCCACTCACCCAACAATTCCTGCCTGTCCCTATCCTCCTTCTATATATAAAGAAACCCACGGCACCCCATGTTCAGAAGATATCTCAAGCTCTGTTTTGGGCTGCGCTTCCCACCATAGTCTTCCCCACACTTGAAATGATTCCCACTGGCAGCTTCATGTCAAAACATGGCAGCAAAAGCTTAAGAAACTACTGAGATCATGACTCGACTCTGACTTTTCCCGTCCTGACAAATACTTACCAGCTCCGGGCCAAACTGTTCCAGATCAGGCGATGCTCCTTCAGCATCAGTCTCTCGATCACCCCTTGCAATTCTCTGTGATATGGACTGGTCAGAGGGGCCTCGGCAGGCTGTACTACTCCTAAAGATGGAGACAATGGGATTGTTGGAGGGTAGGACTCAAAAGAGGTAAGGGGCAGTGTGGTGTAGCTGGCGGGGTGTTGGGCTAGAATTTTACACATGGGCGACTCAGCCCATTACACAAAGTAAGCATTTGCAATATAGTTGATTTTGCCCAGGGGTGCTCTTGGGGGAAAATAGACCTTGACATATGCGAGTTGTAGTTACTGGGATGTATAGTTCACCTACAATCAAAGAGCATTCTGAACTCCACCAATGATGAAATTGAACCAAATATGGGACACAGAACTCCCACGACGAACAGAAAATATATATCAGTGATTGGTGGGAGGAGGGTGCCAAAATACTGTTTGCTTACCATTGAAAATTACCTAGGGTCACCTCTGATTTTACAGAACTGGGTAAAGTGAGGCCTCTGTCACTAGGGAGATGGCTTCTGGAGTCCTTTTGAGCCTCATGTCCAAATGGGAATAGCTTCCCATTGGCATGAAAGAGTCAATTAGGATTAGTGATGTTTGGTAGATACATTTTGCATTAACTATGCAATTTTGGGTTGAGAAAAGACATGGGTCTTTGTTGATGAAGGGTCTGAATGCATCTACACTGTAGAATTAATGCAGTTTGACACCACTTTCACTGCCATGTCTCAGTGCTATGGAATTGTGGGAGCCCCTCAGAATTATTTGGCAGAGTATGCTACCAACAAAACCTTGTAAATCTGCAATTCCCATGATTCCATAGCATTGAGCCATGGCTGCTAAAGCGATTTCACACTGTATTAATTCTGCAACTTGGATGTGCCCTTTGCTGCAGGATCTCTGCTGAGTGACTAACAAGAAAGAGAAAAACCAAAATGTAATACTTAGAATTCAAGTTTCAAATTCTAAGAAAATGTCATTTCAAGTGTGCGTTGATTTTATTGGGGTGAGTGGAAAGAAGCCTTCTTTTATATATGTAAAATGTAATGTTCGTTTGTGGGACGCACATAACTCAAAAACGACTAGATGAAATGACACCAAATTTGGCTACAAGACACCTACTAACCCAAGGAGTGACCATCAGTCAAAAAAATCAGCAAAAAACAGTGAAAAGAACTTTAAAATCCAAAAAAGGTAGAAGCTGACACAGCTCTGTCCCCCTCCTGCGCAAGGACACAGCAAGCACGAGAGGCACCACCAACCATCCTCCCTCTTCCAGCCAGAACTGGAGCTATGGTGGGTCCAGCGAGTGGAAGAGCCTTATCCGCCATCAGGGAAGGAGCGAAGGAAGCAGAGAAGGAAAGAAGGAGGGAAAAAGGAAGAGAAGCAAAGAAGGAAAGAGAGAAGGAAGGATGGAAGCAAAGAGCGATGGAAAGAAGGAAAGAAAGTGGTAGAGAAGGAAGAAAGGAGAGAAGGAAAGAAGAAGAGAAAAAAGGAAGGGAAGCAAAGAAGGAAAGAGTGGAAGCAAAGAGTGAAGGAAAGAAGGAAAGAAAGAGGTAGAGAAGGAAGAAAGGAGAGAAGGAAAGAAGGAGAGAAAAAGGAAGGGAAGCAAAGAAAGAAAAAGAGAAGGATGGAAGCAAAGAGCGAAGGAAAGAAGGAAAGAAAGAGGTAGAGAAGGAAGAAAGGAGAGAAGGAGAGAAAAAGGAAGAGAAGCAAAGAAGGAAAGAGAGAAGGGTGGAAGCAAAGAGCAAAGGAAAGAAGGAAAGAAAGAGGTAGAGAAGGAAGAAAGGAGAGAAGAAAAGAAGGAGAAAAAAAGGAAGGGAAGCAAAGAAAGAAAAAGAGAAGGATGGAAGCAAAGAGCGAAGGAAAGAAGGAAAGAAAGAGGTAGAGAAGGAAGAAAGGAGAGAAGGAGAGAAAAAGGAAGAGAAGCAAAGAAGGAAAGAGAGAAGGATGGAAGCAAAGAGCAAAGGAAAGAAGGAAAGAAAGAGGTAGAGAAGGAAGAAAGGAGAGAAGAAAAGAAGGAGAAAAAAAGGAAGAGCAGCAAAAAAGGAAAAAGAGAAGGATGGAAGCAAAGAGCGAAGGAAAGAAGGAAAGAAAGTGGTAGAGAAGGAAGAAAGGAGAGAAGGAAAGAAGGAGAGAAAAAAGAAGAGAAGCAAAGAAAAAAAAGAAGGAAAGATCGAAGTAAAGAGGAGAAAGAAGAAAAGAAAGAGGTAGAGAAGGAAGAAAGGAGAGAAAGGGGAAGGGAAAGAAAAAGGGGGAAGGAAGGGAAGAAGAAAAGGAAGGAAGGAGAAAAGGAAAGGAAAAAAGGAAGAGGGAGGGAAGTAAGGAGAAAAAGAAAGGAGAGAAAGAGGGAGGGAAGGTTGGCCACAGCAACATGTGACAGGTACAGCTAGTCTGTCTATACAAGCCTGGACTTCATTTTGAAACCTAAGACTAGTACTGAGATAATTTTGATTTCATATACCACTTGAATGGTGTCTTGTAATTGGCTGCAAATCTGGGAGGTGAAGTCCAAAGCATCTGGAAGGCCAAACACATCCGACCCCTGGACTAGACTGGATTTTAATAGTTTGGAATCAAAGCAAAGACAGAGAGGGAGAAAGAGAGACATTGAGAGAGGCATTACTGCCTCTCCAGGTCCAAGCTAGTTATAAAGTAGATACGTGACTTCCAACAGATAAGCTTCCGTAAATCTATCCTTCTGGTCGCCGTGAGGCAATTGCTGCTCACCACAGGTAACCAAGTCATTCCTTATTTATAAACATGCAAAGAAGTAGATGCCTACCATTGCTGCTGGCAGAATTCTCACAAAGACGTTTAGTGAGGAATTGTGTTTTGAATGCAGCGGAGGGAAGAGGGGGATCAAGGTGCTGAGAATGGGTCTGGTCTTCAAACCAGCACAAACCATCTTGAGCCTCTTACCTTCAATGACGACGTAGTCCAGGCAGCCGCTGTCTGTGGCAGAGAGGATGCTGGGAAGATTGGCATTGACCTGAAGCTTTGGAGCCTCCTAATAAGACAGAAAAGGAAACAGGAGAGGCAGAGTAAGAGTTACCTGAGAAATCAATCGTAAACCGGATCGGGGTATAGGATGGCAACCTGTGCTGGACGGGGTTGCACTCCCCCTGAAGTCACAGGTCCGCAGTTTGGGAGTCCTTTTGGATTCATCACTTACGCTTGAGGCTCAGGCGTCGGCGGTGTCCGGGAGGGTTTTTGCGCAACTAAGACTTGTGCGCCAGCTGCGACCGTACCTCGCAAAGGTCGGGGTGGTCCATGCCTTGGTCACCTCTAGATTGGACTACTGCAATGCGCTCTACGTGGGGCTGCCCTTGAAAACGGCTCGGAAATTCCAACTGGTCCAACGGGCAGCAGCCAGGATGTAACTGGGGCTCCTTACAGAGAGAGGTCAACCCTCCTGTTCAAGGAGCTCCACTGGCTGCCGTTTATTTTCCAAGCCCAATTCAAGGTGCAGGTGCTTACCTACAAAGCCCTAAATGGTTTGGGACCTGCCTACTTGCGTGACCGCATTTCCGTATATGAACCCACCCGCTCCTCCGTTCATCCGGAGAGGCCCTGCTCACAATTCCACCTGTGTCGCAGGCTCGTTTGGTGGGGACGAGAGACAGGGCCTTCTCTGTGGTTGCCCCCCGACTTTGGAACACCCTCCCCAAAGACATTAGACTAGCACTCACGTTGGCAGTCTTTAGGAAGAACTTGAAGACCTGGCTATTCCGATGTGCCTTTCCAGAATAGGATAACCTCCAGCACTACGTCCCAGAAGCACTTTATTAGAGTTTAAGACTCTCTGCACATTGCACTTGCCCAGAATCCCAACATATCACCTCTCACACCCAGCACTTTTTAACCGTACCCTTTATTGGCCCGGCCCTGGTTTTATTGCGTAATAGTGTAATGTTTTGTTTTGTTATTGCTTATGTTTTTAATTTGCTTTGCATTGTATTGTTATTGTCTGTTGTTGTTGTTTGAGGCCTTGGCCTTTGTAAGCCGCATCGAGTCCTTCGGGAGGTGCTAGCGGGGTACAAATAAAGTTTAATAATAATAATAATAATAATAATAATAATAATAATAAAATCAGATGAGCTGTGAAGTCCTGAGTTCAAATTTCCCCTTAGCCCAAAGCGCTCCACAGTATCCTTTGTCAGTTGTCCTTCTGGATTAAGGAAAATGCTAATCTAGTTGAATATTTTGTTTCTAGAAACAGCCTGTAAATTGCCTCTGGGAAGGTTACAAGCTGTGCTCAGGTGCAAAGGCAGGAGCAGCCCTCCTTGATCTGATTCTGTCTTGACTAGAACAGTAAATTATAAAGGATGCTGGGAGTTGTAATCCTGTGGGTGGGTGGGTAGGTAGGTAGGTAGAATGATATAGATAGATAGATTTCATATCAAAAGCACTGTATAAATTAATACTGATAGAAATAGAAGGAACACAGGGTTGTTGTAAGTTTTTTCTGGCTATATGGCCATGTTCTAGAGGCATTCTCTCCTGACGTTTCGCCTGCATCTATGGCTAGCATCCTCAGAGGTAGTGAGGTGACCCAGTGATTCTGGCCATGAAAGCCTTCGACAATACATTGAACATCTCTAGAATGAACACAAGCAGTTAAATATCTTTTGACCAAAAATGGGCAACAGCAACCACACTGTCTGTAGCCTCAAGCAATTCTTGCTCTGTACATGAGGCAGGACATTGTGGACAAGCACATAGGTGCAGAATTGTTTGTTCTGCTCCACAGTCTCACAAGATGTAGGATTCTTTTAGGTAGTGCCATTTTGCCATGTTGTCTTTTGATTTGCCCACTCTGCTTCTGAGTCTGTTCAAGGACTTCCAAGTTGATCATTCTTGGTTTGCCCCTGAGGGGGTGGGAGGGCACCCAATTAGGATTTTCTGGTTTATTTATTTTATTTATTTATTTAGAACTTTTATATACCGGTCTTTTCACCTCCAACGAGGGACTCAGGCCGGTTCACAACAGAGGATTCATACACAATAGTTTAAAACATAACATCCCATAATACACTAATATAAAAACACATTAAAATACAATCATATAATTACATAAGGCCAAGTTGTCAGAATGAAATCACAATTCATCACCATCCGTCCGTGTGGTCAAGAGTTATTGACTCACTCATCAAATGCCAAATTCCAGAGCCAAGTTTTCACCAGCTTTCTAAAGGTCAGGAGAGAAGGGGCAGTTCTAATCTCCAATGGGAGAGAGTTCCAGAGCTGAGGGGCCACCATCGAGAAGGCCCTGTCCCTTGTCCCCACCAGACGCGATTGCGAGGGTGGTGGGACCGAGAGCAGGGCCCCTCCAGAAGATCTTAACAACCTTGATGGATCTGTTCGGGCAGGTAAACTGGGCCGGGGTCGTTTAGGGATTAGCTGCCCAGAGGGATACTCTTGTTGCTGGGGGAACATTAAGAGGAGTGGTGGTTCTCATGAAGCTTTTCCTTGATTTGAGCCTACCGCGAGGAGGCTGATAGCCATGCAATGGTTGGCTTTCACTGTGTTCCTTTTTTTCTCTCACAGTTAGCAGCAACTTCCCATCGCACATCGCGGGGGGGGGGGGGGGRGGCAATGCCAGCGAGCTTGTACAGTTTATCAACAGTTGTAAGTTTGAGACATTCTGGGAATATTCTGCATGTTTCTTTCAGTRCTGCGTTCACCCGCTTTGCGTGGGCAGACTTGAGCCAAACAGAAGCTGAGTAAGACAAAGCCAGGGTTGATGTTCTTACGATATTCATTTTGGGTTTGCACCACAGTAAGTTTCCACAGGATGTTACTGCGTGTTATTGTGCTTGATGTTCATACAGTATTTTCTAAATATTAGTATTCGATCTACTACTACTACTACTACTACTACTACTACTACTTTTTTTGTCATGTCAGGAGCGACTTGAGAAACTGCAAGTCACTTCTGGTGTGAGAGAATTGACCGTCTGCAAGGATGTTGCCCAGGGGATGCCTGGATGATTTGATGTTTTTATCATCCTTGTGGGAGGCTTCTCTCATGTCCCTGCATGTGGAGCTGGAGCTGATAGAGGGAGCTCATCCGCCTCTCCCCGGATTCAAACCTGCAACCTGTCGGTCTCCAGTCCTGCCGGCACAGGGATTTAAATCACTGCGCCACTGGGGGCTCCGCTACTACTACTACTACTACTACTACTACTACTAATAATAATAATAAACTTTATTTATATACCGCTCTATCTCCCCTAGGAGACTCAGGGCAGTTTCCAAATAGCAAAACATCAACATACAGAATATGCAAAACATAAGCATAGAATTATCAAAACAACACAAATACATTAAAAAACCAATCCCACCCTAAGATGGCACCAAGATATTTAAGATGGAAACAATCTTATATCTCTCTATATAAATGTATATGTGTGTGTGTGTGTATAATTTTAGTCAAAAAAAATCACCTACCAAAGGTCTAGGCTGACTTATACATAGGTAATTGTAAGTATTCTACTTTAATTCTTATCCAAAATGAACATATCTGTGAATTGAATTTGTTGAGAAACCTTTTTCTCTATCCCAAAATCTAGTAGTAATGAATGTGTGTGTAGCAATGAGGGAGCCTTTGTAAACTGTCTATGGCTCCTGATTTTAAAGACATACAGAACAATAAACCAGGTTAAGTCATCAGGACATGTCTCAAAGTAAAGGAGAGAGGACTATGTTGGGGTTCAGCCTCCGTGTGAACCTGACCCTCAGCCTCCGTGTGAACCTGACCCTGATTCTTTGATTATATTTCCTGATGCAGCTGAACAGGGTACTGAACATGTAGTTTTCCCTGATGGTTTGGAATCTGTTGATTCTGAGGGCAGTGGCTGGGAAAGTGAAACTAAACATCCTGATGAGGATGTTTCAGAATCAAGCGGTGATAACTCTCCAGAGGAGTTAACACCTGCCTTTTTAAATGAGGATAGAAGAAGGCAGATTTGGGAAAACAGGAGTGAATCACAGAGTCTGCGAAGGTCAAGTAGATTAAAGGAAAAGGAGGCTTCCAAGCCTGGAGGCGTGTCCCGAAACAGTTTCTTTAGTTTAAAGTGTCTTCCCCTGGGCCTGTCTGGTTAGATCAAGCATTGTTTGGACTGAGGCATTACCTTGGCTGAGTTCCCGTTTCCCATGGCCTGCATTCCCAGAGGCTTCTAGTTTCCAAGTACGGTTAGTGAGATACTAACAGGTTCCAGGTTTTTATAGTGTTGCTTTTGGAATTTTGATCTAGTTCAGAGATTTTCCTGACTGCTGAATTTTACTATGGCTTTTTGACTTTGCATTTTCCTCTATTTGCATTTTCCTCTATTGACTTTGCATTTTCCTCTATTTTGTACCATTTTTTATCAATAAAAAAGGATTGTTTTTCCCAAAGTCAAGTGTGGTGGATTTAATCTTATGGTCTCATTTCCTGATCTGGGTTGCAACAGACTATTTCCACAAAGTAGGTGCCATTACAGTAAACACCTTGCTCCAAATAACCGCAGAACGGACTTTCCAGATAAGGGACACTCAATCTGCACCAGATAGACATTCCCCTAAGCTCAAGAGCATAAGAGAGGTAAGTGTACAAAACTATACCTGGATTTTGGCCACCACCTTGGCCTTCTTCCTGTGCAGATAGTAGAAGAGACCCGAGAAGGCTAGGCTTGACCCCAAACATACCAGCTCTCCTGCGGTGAAGGGCAAAGAATCCATTGAGCTTCTTCGCTATGGCTGCAAAAGGGGGAAAGCAAGAAAAAGATGGATCAAAACTCAATGCAAGAAGTCCAGCTAGAGCACCCCATCTCTTTGGAAGATGGTTAGGGGAAAGCAACTCTCTAAATTTGGAGGGCCTAAGTTTGCCCATGCCTGCTCTAAACCATTGCAGAGCCACCTTTACATCCTAGTTCCGTCTAATGTTCAATTGCAACCTACTCTCTTGTAATCATTAGTCTTAGTTTTATGATCCGAGGCATCAATGAACAAACTTGCACCCTTCTCTCTGTGATATTTAAAGAATACAGTTGTGTTATCTCTTTGTCTGTAGGGAGAATTCAAGTCTGATTTGCTCACAGAACCATTCCTCTCCATCACCAATTTGGTATATAATAGATTATTATTATTATTATTATTATTATTATTATTATTATTATATGTTTAAAAACACATAAAAACAAATAGTATTGGGTTGCTGTGAGTTTTCCAGCCTGTCTGGCCATGTTCCACCGATATATAAACCTCACTTATCTAGTTTCCAACATGGGCACAACGTCAGGAGAGAATGCTTCTGTGGTGCCCAGAATTGTGTCCAATTCTGGGCACCACAATTCAAGAGAGATATTGAGAAGCTGGAATGTGTCCAGAGGAGGGCGACTAAAATGATCAAGGGTCTGGAGAACAAGCCCTATGAGGAGCGGCTTAAGGAGCTGGGCATGTTTAGCCTGAAGAAGAGAAGGCTGAGAGGAGACATGATAGCCATGTATAAATATGTGAGGGGAAGCCACAGGGAGGAGGGAGCAAGCTTGTTTTCTGCTTCCTTGGAGACTAGGACGCGGAACAATGGCTTCAAACTACAAGAGAGGAGACTCCATCTGAAACAGAGGAAGAACTTCCTGACTGTGAGAGCTGTTCAGCAGTGGAACTCTCTGCCCCGGAGTGTGGTGGAGGCTCCTTCTTTGGAAGCTTTTAAACAGGGGCTGGAAAGCCAGCCATCTGTCAGGGGTGCTTTGAATGCAACATTTCTGCTTCTTGGCAGGGGGCTGGACTGGATGGCCCATGAGGTCTCTTCCAACTCTTTGATTCTATGATTCTACCATGGCCAGACAGCCCGGAAAACTCACAGCAACCCAGTGATTCCGGTCATGAAACCTTTGACAACACAGCAAATAGTATTATTCACACACACACACAAAGGGAAAAGTAGAAAGCTGGAGTGGGTTGTGGAGGTCTAGTTAGTAAATCAGAACTATATAAATATCTACTGTATCACCAAAGAAGAGAAAGGGGATTGTGGAGACAAAAAATATGTTTGTTATAGTTATTGCGTCCATATCTTTCACATTAATATTATTATATATACCCTCTAAAATTTTAAAAGTTCCAAATGCCCTCTATAACAAAGCAGATGCATTCTCTTGTCATCCAATGTCATATCTTCCCATATCCGGCACTCTTCCATTACCAAATTTTAATTGGTTTTCTTCCTAACAGTTTTATCAAACTGATTGCGCTGGTGAGTCACCAAATTACAAGCCCCGGGGTCCCATGGAATAGTATCATGGCAGTTAAAGGGAATAATACTACTATGATTCTGTAAGGTGACTGGGCAGCACAGATTTAAACCTTCCCCTGAATTATTCTCTCAGCTTGAGCAACCTCACAGGGGTGTTGTGGGAATGGAAAGGGGAAGAGGAGACCCAACGCATGAATGCCACCTTGAGCTCATCTGAGGAAAGGCAGGATATACATATGACCAACATACAAAAAAACTAGGTTGTTGTAGGTTTTTTGGGCTATATGGCCATGTTCTAGAGGCATTCTCTCCTGATGTTTTGCCTGCATCTATGGCAAGCATCCTCAGAGGTAGTGAGGTCTGTTGGAACTAGGAAAATGGGTTTATATATCTGTGGAATGACCAGGGTGGGACAAAGGACTCTTGTCTGCTGGAGCTAGGTGTGAATGTTTCAACTGACCACAGATATATAAACCCCTTTTCCTAGTTCCAACAGACGTCACTACCTCTGAGGATGCTTGCCATAGATGCAGGCGAAACGTCAGGAGAGAATGCCTCTAGAACATGGCCATATAGCCCGAAAAAACCTACAACAACCCAGTGATTCCGGCCATGAAAGCCTTTGACAATACAAAGAAACAGGTGTTATTATCCATTCTTCCTTCCTGTATGCCCCTGATCTTATATCCTGGTGTGAACACACTTTCAAATCAGCTGTTTATGGCAACCCCATGAAGGTCTTAATTTATGTTTCATGCACACATATAGACATAGCCAAAAAGTAATTTATACAATACTCGAGTATATAAAGCAGACATTGCATTTTCTTTGGCATGGGCAAACTTTGGCCCTCCAGGTGTTTTGGATTTCAACTCCCACAATCCCTAACAGCCTATGTCAAGCTGGGGGGGGGGGGGGCTGGGGGGGCAGACTGAAGACCGACAGGTTGCAGGTTCAAATCCGGGGAGAGGCAGATGAGCTCCATCTACCACTCCAGCTCCTCATGCGGGGACATGAGAGAAGCCTCCCACAAGGATGATAAAAACATGAAATCATCTGGGCATCCTCTGGGCAACGTCTTTGCAGACGGCCAATTCCCTCACACCAGAAGCGACTTGCCGTTTCTCAAGTCGCTCCTGACATGACAAAAAAAAAGCCCCCCCCCCCGAAATTCTCAGGGTGGTCCGCGAGAAGGTCTTTCCGGTACATTATTTAAACTGTTATGTTTATTCATATCATGATCTGATCACCATGCTCAATATATCCCATATGCTTGGGGGTATTGGGGTAACAATACAAAAGGTTTGCTAGGGTAGACCCTCTTTCACTCAGACTCAGCCCCCCCCCCAATCAAAATCCTGGCTAAGGGCCTGGCCTACGTGGGAGTTGAAGTCCAAAACACCTGGAGGGCAACGTCTGCCCATGCCTGTGCTATTTCTTTCCTTCCTTCCTCCCTTTCTCTCATACATCTTCTCCCACTTTATTCCTTCCTTCCGCAGTGCCGGAGTGCCGCAGGGTTCCGTCCTGGGCCCGGTCCTGTTCAACATCTTTATTAACGACTTAGATGAAGGGCTAGAAGGCATGATCATCAAGTTTGCAGACGACACCAAATGGGGAGGGATAGCCAATAGTCCAGAGGACAGGAGCAGAATTCAAAACGATCTTGACAGATTAGAGAGATGGGCCAAAACTAACAAAATGAAGTTCAACAGTGACAAATGCAAGATACTCCACTTTGGCAGAAAAAATGAAATGCAAAGATACAGAATGGGGGACGCCTGGCTCGAGAGCAGGACGTGTGAAAAAGATCTTGGAGTCCTCGTGGACAACAAGTTAAACATGAGCCAACAATGTGATGTGGCGGCAAAAAAAGCCAATGGGATTTTGGCCTGCATCAATAGGAGCATAGTGTCTAGATCTAAGGAAGTTATGCTACCCCTCTATTCTGCCTTGGTTAGACCACACCTGGAATATTGTGTCCAATTCTGGGCACCACAATTCAAGAGATATTGACAAGCTGGAATGTGTCCAGAGGAGGGCGACTAAAATGATCAAGGGTCTGGAGAACAAGCCCTATGAGGAGCGGCTTAAGGAGCTGGGCATGTTTAGCCTGAAGAAGAGAAGGCTGAGATGAGATATGATAGCCATGTATAAATATGTGAGAGGAAGCCACAGGGAGGAGGGAGCAAGCTTGTTTTCTGCTTCCTTGGAGACTAGGACGCGGAACAATGGCTTCAAACTACAAGAGAGGAGATTCCATCTGAACATTAGGAAGAACTTCCTGACTGTGAGAGCCGTTCAGCAGTGGAACTCTCTGCCCCGGAGTGTGGTGGAGGCTCCTTCTTTGGAAGCTTTTAAGCATAGGCTGGATGGCCATTTGTCAGGGGTGATTTGAATGCAATATTCCTGCTTCTTGGCAGGGGGTTGGACTGGATGGCCCATGAGGTCTCTTCCAACTCTTTGATTCTATGATTCCCTCTTTTTCTTTCTCTCATACACATCCCTCTTTCCTTTCTCTTCCTTCCTTACTTTTCCCTTCTTTTTCTTTCTTTCTTCCCTCCCTTCTTCCCTTCCTTTCCTTATCCTCATAATTTCCCCCTTCCCTTTCATTATGGTGTGCACCCTACAACAACTCCTTCCTTGCTCTTTTTTCTTTCTTCCCTTTCTCTCCCTTCCTGCCTTTCTCTTCTTTCTTTCTTCCTTTCCTAGTGACATCACAGAGGGACACTTCACCTAGCAACTGCCAATCATTCACATCCACCTAACTTTGATCCTTAGAATCATAGAATCAAAGAGTTGGAAGAGACCTCATGGGCCATCCAGTCCAACCCCCTGCCAAGAAGCAGGAATATTGCATTCAAATCACCCCTGACAGATGGCCATCCAGCCTCTGTTTAAAAGCTTCCAAAGAAGGAGCCTCCACCACACTCCGGGGCAGACAGTTCCACTGCTGAACGGCTCTCACAGTCAGGAAGTTCTTCCTCATGTTCAGATGGAATCTCCTCTCTTGTAGTTTGAAGCCATTGTTCCGCGTCCTAGTCTCCAGGGAAGCAGAAAACAAGCTTGCTCCCTTCTCCCTGTGGCTTCCTCTCACATATTTATACATGGCTATCATATCCCCTCTCAGCCTTCTCTTCTTCAGGCTAAACATGCCCAGCTCCTTAAGCCGCTCCTCATAGGGCTTGTTCTCCAGACCTTTTTCATTTTAGTCGCTCTCCTCTGGACACATTCCAGCTTGTCAATATCTCTCTTGAATTGTGGTGCCCAGAATTGGACACAATATTCCAGGTGTGGTCTAACCAAAGCAGAATAGAGGGGTAGCATGACTTCCCTATATCTAGACACTATGCTCCTATTGATGCAGGCCAAAATCCCATTGGCTTTTTTTGCCGCCACATCACATTGTTGGCTCATGTTTAACTTGTTGTCCCAAGGACTCCAAGATCTTTTTCACACGTACTGCTCTCAAGCCAGGCATTGTCCCCCATTCTGTATCTTTGCATTTCATTTTTTCTGCCTAAGTGGAGTATCTTGCATTTGTCACTGTTGAACTTCATTTTGTTAGTTTTGGCCCATCTCTCTAATCTGTCAAGATCGTTTTGAGTCCTGCTCCTGTCCTCTGGAGTATTGGCTCTCCCTCCCAATTTGGTGTCGTCTGCAAACTTGATGATCCTGCCTTCTAGCCCTTCATCTAAGTCATTAATAAAGATGTTGAACAGGACCGGGCCCAGGACGGAACCCTGCTTGTGGCACTCCGCTCGTCACTTCTTTCCAGGATGAAGAGGAAGCATTGGGGAGAATCACCCTCTGGGTTCGTCCACTTAACCAATTACAGATCCACCTCACCGTAGTTTTGCCTAGCCCACATTGGACTAGTTTCCTTGCCAGAAGGTCATGGGGGACCTTGTCAAAGGCCTTACTGAAATCCAGGTACGCTACATCCACGGCATTCCCCGCATCTACCCAGCTTGTAACTCTATCGAAAAAAGAGATCAGATAGTCTGGCATGACTTGTTTTTGATAAATCCATGTTGACTATTAGCGATGACTGCATTTGTTTCTAAGTGTTTGCAGACCACTTCCTTAACAATCTTTTCCAGAATCTTGCCCGGTATCGACGTGAGGCTGACCGGACGGTAGTTGTTTGGGTCATCCTTTTTTCCCTTCTTGAAGATTGGGACCACATTGGCCCTCCTCCAATCTGCTGGAACTTCTCCCGTTCTTATTTCAAACCCTTTCCTTCCTCTTCTTTCTTTCCTTCCATTCCCTTCTTGTCTTTCTCTTCTCTTTCTTCCTTTCCCAGAGGGACACTTCATCACAGAGGGACACTTCACCTAGCAACTGCCAATCATCCACATCCAACTAACTTTGATCCTTTTGGGGCCTGAAAAAAAAGTGAGCTTTTACAAAGTTGGACCATGACATGAAGTTGGATCATGAAGAGTTTGGCCCAAATCCATCAAGGCATGGAGGAGCTTTTGGGGGACAATCCAACCAACATACACATATGCTTTTACTTTTATTAATGTGGGTATTGTAATAATTGTGTGCCTGAAACAAAAGTTTGATACATCAAAGTATCAGAACACTCTGCCCATGCTCAGGGGCACTCTCGCCTAGAGTAACTCCCAGGACTCAAGGTAAATCCATTAGAAACATTAATGGCCACTGACTTACCTCTGACGCCGAGAAACAACTTCCCATATCCTCGCTTCTCTCCTTCTCTGGCGGAACCAAAGTTTTGTGGTCTCAGCCCGGCGGAAACGCCAGCGTTGCACACTCCGCCGCGGTGGGTTATGGGAAACTGAGTCCAAAGAGCAGCGACTTCCCTTCGCGGCGGCCTTCCCGTTGCTGTTCAAAGACTACGACTCCCAGCGTGCTCTGCTCGCAAATAGAATGTGTTGCGACTCTTGCTGGCCGGAAAGCGCTGACTGCAGCTTCTCTTTGTGGCAGGCAGCTGTTGCTGGGAAATGTGACCCTCAGGCAGGCCTGGGCCAACTTGGGCCCTCCAGGTGTTTTGGACTCCAACTCCCACAATTCCTAACAGCCTAAAGGCTGTTAGGAATTGTGGGAGTTGGAGTCCAAAACACCTAGAGGGCGCAAGTTGGCCCAGGCCTGCCTTAGATTATCCCTCTGATAATTATATTACATTTTACAGTCAAATTATATTACCTTTCTAACAGAACAAAGCAAACAAACAGAGAAAATACAAAATGTGTGAGTTTGGTAGTTAATTAAATGTCCTTTGACCAGTATCTGGCCACTTGGAGTGCCTCTGGTGTTGCTGCCAAGAAGTTCCTCCATTGTGCATGTGGCAAGCTCAGGTTGCATTGCAGCAGGAGATCAGTGGTTTGCTCTTCTCCACACTCGCATGTCGAGGATTCCACTTTGTAGCCCCATTTCTGAAGGTTGGCTCTGCATCTCGTGGTGCCAGAGCACAGTCTGTTCAGCGCCTTCCAAGTCGCCCAGTCTTCTGTGTGCCCAGGGGGAGTCTCTCATTTGGTATCAGCCATTGGTTGAGGTGCTGGGTTTGAGCCTGCCACTTTTGGACTCTTGCTTGCTGGGGTGTTCCAGCGAGTGTCTCTGTAGATCTTAGAAAACTATGTCTGGATTTAAGTCGTTGACGTGCTGGCTGATACCCAAACAGGGATGAGCTGGAGATGTCTCTGCCTTGGTCCTTTCACTATTGGCTGCTACTTCCTGGTGGATGTCAGGTGGTGCAATACCGGCTAGACAGTGTAATTTCTCCAGTGGTGTAGGGCGCAGACACCCCGTGATAATGCAGCATGTCTCATTAAGAGCCACATCCACTGTTTTAGCGTGGTGAGATGTGTTCCACACTGGGCATGCATACTCAGCAGCAGAGTAGCACAGCGCAAGGGCAGATGTCTTCACTGTATCTGGTTGTGATCCCCAGGTTGTGCCAGTCAGCTTTCGTATGATATTGTTTCTGGCACCCACTTTTTGCTTGATGTTCAGGCAGTGCTTCTTGTAGGTAAGGGGTACATGAGAGAAGCCTCCTCGCAGGATTGCAAGACATCCGGGCGTCCCCTGGGCAACGTCTTCGTAGACGGCTGATTCTCTTGCCACAGAAGTGACCAGCATGCATGCAAGCAAGCAAAACAACCAACGGACCTTTTCAGGACCAACCATGACAATAATCTCAATCAACATCGAAGGCATGTCAGCTGCCAAAGAACAACTGCTCTATGAACTGTGCTGAGATAAGAAATGCGATGTGCTGTGTGTCCAAGAAACACACAGGGATGAACAACAGAAACGACCCAAAGTTCCAGGAATGGTCTTAGTAGCGGAAAGACCACATGCGCAGTATGGAAGCGCTGTCTTTGTCAAACCAGGCCTCCAAGTCAGCAGTGCCCACAACACTGAAGAAAACAATATAGAGGTTATAACAGTAGAGCTTAATAACATCACCATCACCTCTGTGTACAAGCCCCAAATGAAGAGTTCTGCTTCTCCTCCCCCGAGAATTTTGATAGGCACCAAAGGGCGGTAGTAATTGGTGACTTCAACAGCCATAGCCACGTATGGGGCTATGCCCAAGAGGACAAAAATGGAGAGGCTGTCCTCTCCTGGTCTGAACTGCACAAACTATCACTCATCCATGATAGCAAGCTCCCACCATCCTCTGACTATTGAAAGGAAAGGAAAGTTGAATTAAGATGCAAGAAGAGAGCTTAGGGTTGGGGAAAATATTTTGGGCCAAATGTGGCCCACAAGCCATCTTTTGCAGGCCCCTCGATCTAGTCTAATGTATTTTTGTGGTGTTTGAGCAGACGAAGGCTGCTGCAGATAAAGATGTTATCTTCTATTGACAATGTATCCAGAGGAGGGCAACTAAAATCATAAAGAGTCTGGAGAACAAGCCCTATGAGGAGTGGCTTAAAGAGCTGGGCATGTTTTGCCTGGAGAAGGCTGAGAGGAGACATGATGAGGGCCATGTATAAATATGTGAGAGGAAGCCACAGGGAGGAGGGAGCAAGCTTGTTTTCTGCTGCCCTGGAGACTAGGACGCAATGGAGCAATGGCTTCAAACTACAAGAAAGGAGATTCCGTCTGAACATGAGGAAGAACTTCCTGACTGTGAGAGCCGTTCAGCAGTGGAACTCTCTGCCCCGGAGTGTGGTGGCTCAGTCTGAGCCTGAGTCTCAGACTGAATTTTTTGGGCCTTCTGGGTCTGCTGGGCCTTCTGAGCCTGACTTTCTGCAGGATGACGAGGAGGCTGATGGGTTACAGATTCCTGTACACGTTCCAGATGGGGCTGATAGTGTGGCTTATGAAGAAGAAACAGCAAGCCTGTTTCCCGGGGAAAGGAATGTGCCTTTAGATAAAGATAGTGAAACTCCACAAGTGCAGGTGAAGGCTCCTTTCAGTTCCCAGAGTGATGAGGCCCAACTGGGCCAAGATAATGAGTTGTTTAGCCTTGAAGATAATAGTGAATTAATGAGTAGACAGGATCGTTTACAATTAAGAGTTCGCAGAAGCACACGCCTTGCCAATAAGCGTGAAGCCAAAGGTCAATGCAATGCTTTCATGTCAGGGAAACTTATTTATTTAATGATGTAGCCGACAGGAATTTCCTGTCAGTCCAATGTTGCTCTTTCCCTGTTAACTTCTGTGGAACTACCTTGTCTTTTGCGGAACGCTTCTGGCTTCTTTGAGACTTGGATTTTGATCCTGATTTTACCTGTTTACCACGGACTCTTGTTTGACCATTGCTAAGGGATTATGTTATTTGCCTTTGGATCTTGGGAACTTTGCCTTTGCATTTAAGACTCTGTTTTGCCTATTGAACTTTTGCATCTTTATTTCTCTGTTTTGATTTTGCTTTTTTCTCAATAAACTACAAAACCTACAGCCTTGGGTGTGGTGGTGTCTTGAGCAAGGTGAAGCTACCCTGAGTTGCGACACAGAGTGTGGTGGATGCTCCTTCTTTGGAGGCTTTTAAATAGAGGCTGGATGGCCATCTGTCGGGGGTGCTTTGAATGTAATTTTCCTGCTTCTTGGCAGGGGGTTGGACTGGATGGCCCATGTGGTCTCTTCCAATTCTATGATGCTACATGTCGCTTGTGGTCGCACATGCTGCATTATCTCAGGCTGTCTGTGCCCTACACCACTGGAGAAATAATGTTTAGCCAGTATTGCAACACCTGACATCCGCTGGGAAGTAGCAACCGATAATGAAAGGACCAAGGCAGTGACATATCCAGCCCATCCCCTATTCAGATATAAACCAGCACGCCAATGCCTTAAATCAAGAAATAGTTTTCTAAGAGGGTTGTTGTAGGTTTTTTGGGCTGTATGGCCACGTTCTAGGTGCATTCTCTCCTGACGTTTTGCCTGCATATGTGCCAGGCATTCTCAGAGGTTGTGAGGTTTGTTGGAAACTAGGAAAATTGGGTTTATATATCTGTGGAAGGTCCAGGGTGGGAGGAAGAACTGTGGTCTGTTGGAGCTAGGTGTGAATGTTTCATTTGGCCACATTGATTAGCATTTGATGGCCAGACAGTTTTTAGGTGTGGCTTGTTACTGCCTGGGAAATTCCTTTGTTGAGAGGTGATTAGCTGTCCCTGATTGTATAAGCTATTATCCTCCCAACCCTGCTGTACACCCGCGAAACGTGGACTGTCTACAGATGTCATACGCAACTCCTGGAACGATTCCATCAGTGCTGCCTCCGAAAAATCCTGCAAATCTCTTGGGAAGACTGGCAGACAAAGGTCAGTGTGCTGGAAGAAGCAAAGACCATCAGCATTGAAGTGATGCTCCTTCGTCATCAACTCTGCTGGATTGGCCACATTGTCTAAATGCCCAATCAACATCTTCCAAAGCAGCTGCTCTACTCCGAACTCAAGAATGGGAAATGTAATGTTGGTGGACAGGAAAAGAAATTCAAAGATGGGCTCAAAGCCAACCTTAAAACTGTTGCATAGACACCAAGAACTGGGAAGCCTTGGCCCTTGAGTGCTCTAACTGGAGGTCAGCTGTGACAAGCAGTGCTGTGGAATTTGAAAAGTTACGAATGGAGGATGAAAGGGAGAAACTTGCCAAGAGGGACGTGCGTCAAGCCATCCCTGATTGGGACCACCTCCATCTGGAAACTGATGTCCTCACTGCAGGAGAACATGCAGATCAAGAATGGGGCTCTACAGCCACCAACAGACCCACTGTCAAGACACGACACCTGGAAGACCATAATCCCTGAGCTACGAGGGATCGCTTAAATAAAGTTTACTATACTGCCAAATGAATGCAGCTTGACACCACTTTAACAGCCATGGCTCAATGCTATGGAATCATGAGAACTGTAATTTCACAAGGTCATTAGCCTTCTCTGCCAAAGAGTGCTGGTGCCACACCAAAAATACAAACTCCAAGATACTATAGTACTGAGTGATGGCAGCTAAAGTGGTGTCGAACCACAATAATTCAACAGTGTAGACAACTTAAGGGAAGTTCTAATTCACATTACCTGTCTTTTTTGGCACATAGGAAAATAATCTCTAAAGAGAAATGGTACATTGGCAGAATCGACTCAAAACTTTCCACAATCTGAAAGTTTTCTGAATGTTTTTGTATCGACTAACATGATCCCAGTGCTACCAACCTGAAATGTTATACTCCAGACACAGGAATAAAGCAGATGTTCATGTGTATTGTCAAAGGCTTTCATGGCTGGAATCACTAGGTTCTTGTGGGTTTTTTTCGGGCTATAGGGCCATGTTCTAGAGGCATTTCTCCTGACGTTTCGCCTGCATCTATGGCAAGCATCCTCAGAGGTAGTGAGGTCTGTTGGAATTAGGACAATGGGTTTCGCCTGCCATAGATGGAGGCGAAACGTCAGGAGAAATGCCTCTAGAACATGGCCCTATAGCCCGAAAAAACCCACAAGAACCTAGATGTTCATGTGCCTCTAGATCTCCCAAATCCCAGCCTGACTTCACTGAAAACAAAACACTGCTTATTGAGCCTCATTTCTAATCTCTGGAGATTTGTATTTTCCTCTCAATGTTTACATTTTATTTGTGCCACACATTTGAAGACCACATAGAAATAATCAAGCGGAAACGGCTTTTAATAATTAAATACACCAACGGCATCCCTCCTCCCCCCACCAACACACATACACACACTCACACGCTAAGTCCAAGGCACTAGTCCTCACCGAGCTCAAGGGATGGGAGCGAGTTTGGAATTTCTAAAGCCAAGCTGGTCTGGAACTGAGAATAAGCCTGAGGAGAGGGCTAACGGAAACAAATGTGGAAGCAAACCTGACCCACACACCTCCTTTTCTTCTGGGGTCTGAGACTCCCTTCAAAGGCCAGCTGCCATGTGGTTAGTGTGCTTTCTACAGGGTGTTTTGCACCTGCCCAGAGATCGAATGGCAGAGGTGTGGACTTTTCTCTTTGGGAAGGAGGACAAGGTGTGGGAGGCTTGGTTGATGCAACGCTAGGGAGGAGGAGGTCCTATCATTCCACAGTGATTGGGTGGCATTGTGCGTGCACAAGTGTACAAGACCTTTCCAGTTAACACAGACCCAGTGGCTTGGCTACATCTCCACAAAGCTAGCAAGAGGGGGAAATTGTCTCACACCACAGCCATGCTTCTTCTTTGGATTTATGACTTGTAGAGGGCCATATCTATGTCTACCATTACAGCCTGGCATGGGGTGGGGACAAGTGAGGGGAATGTGAGGAGATGCTACTGATTGAGTCCTCCAAATCTTTGCTGTGCTCTGGCCCTTGAACACTACAGTTGACCAAGATGTATATGAGTACAGGCCTTCTAGCAATGGCTGTTACCAGTGACAGTATACCTCTAAATAACAGGCAAACAGAGCAAGCAAAGAGGAGTGGTGGGTTGTTGTTGCTTTTGGGTTCTGCTTGTAAGCCTTTTGGAAAGATTCAGAATGATACACAAGGGAGACCTTGCACTAATCAAGGGAGGCTTTTCTGATACCACTCTACACCTTTCAGTCCAAGTTTTGAAGCTGTTTTTGTTGTGCCTAGAGCTCCCATAAACTCTAGCCCCATCAAAGCAAGTCCCCACTGAATCAGCACTCCCTACCCCAACCCTAACCCCATAGCATGTTGGTGATCCAGAACCTAATGGCACTTCTCTTGAAACCCATTCCTGAAACAGCACTTACAAAGGCCAAGCTATTCCTGCTCTGTGGCTGCAGCTGATTTGGAAAAGTGGACCTGCCGTGGCAAGGAGTCCGAGCACCAGATCACCACAGAGGATCAGAGAGACATTTCCTGGGGGGAAATGGAGACCAGGAATGAAAGCAGAGGAAGCTGAGCCAGGGAGTCTTCTCATGGCCCATGGAGGGAGCAAGTGGTGCAGTCGGCGGAGAGGAATGAAGCTGTGCTTTTGCTCCTCCTTGCCCCATGGCATGGGCACAGGAGGGAAATACGGGGCAAGCTCATTGTTCTCCTGGCACCGCTGCCTGGATTCCCCACGGCTCCCCAAGGAGGTGAGTGCCGGGCTCAACTTGGTCCCTGTGGGCTGGGTTGTGCAAGGGGCAGTTGTATGTATGTACAGACTCCTGCCAGGGGCAGCTTCTCTTGCCTCGCTCCCTTCATCTACCACACTTCGCAGTTCTTCCCAGGGTTCATGAGGGAGCCGGTGGGGCACTGGAAGTGCTCTATAAAGTCCCGGGAGTTGCTGAGGGTGCCAATGACCCGGAACTTGTCAGGGCTGTGCGGGTCGGTCATCAGGCCCTCATGGGAGCTCTCCGGTGTACGCACAGAACACCAAACCTGAACCAAGACAAAAAAGAAGACAATCATTCGCATTCTCCCCATACCTTGTTTGCTCCTGAGGCAATGCAAACTAGTAGATTCAACAGAGATCATCTTGGTGGGGACGAGAAGAGACTACCTGTCCGAATGTATCTCCTGTTCAGGGGCGGCTCAACCCATTACGTCAAGTAAGAATTCGCAGTATAGTTCATTTTGCCCAGGGGCACTCTTGAGGCGCTCTTGGGGGAAAATAGACCTTGACATATGCGAGTTGTAGTTACTGGGATGTATAGTTCACCTAAAATCAAAGAGCATTCTGAACTCCACCAATGATGGAATTGAACCAAATATGGCACACAGAACTCCCACGACGAACAGAAAATATATATCAATGATTGGTGTGTGGTGGTGGTGGGGGGGGGGGGCAAAATACTGTTTGCTTACCATTGAAAATTACCTAGGGCCACCTCTGCTCCTGTTACTAACCATCATGAAGTTTAAGATCTTCAGGAGAGGCCCTGCTCTCGATCCCACCACCATCGCAAACTTGGTTGGAGGGGATGAGAGACAGGGCCTTCTTGGCAGTGGCCCCCGTCTGTGGAACTCTCCCCGCAGGGACATCAGGCTGCCCACCTCCCTCCTGACCTTTAGAGGTAAATTGAAACACCTGGCTTTGGGACCAGGCATTCGATTAGTGAACAGCGGCAACTGGAAAGAAGATTTAGGATACCGCGACATTGAATTAACACAGACTTGGATTTGGTTTTAACTGGCGTGTTTATATATTGTTTTATATATTGCTGCACTGGGATTGTGGCTCAGCTGGCTGAGTGTCGGCTGCATTAAGAGCACTCTGACCAAAGGTCATGACTTCGAAGCCAGCCCGGGTTGGAGTGGGTTTACAACCAATTGTGTAGCCTGTTGTTGACCTTTGCAACCCGAAAGACAGTTGCATCTGTCAAGTAGGAAAATTAAGTACCACCTTAAAGTGTGGGGAGGCTAAATTAACTAATTTATGAGGCCATAAAAAAAGACTCCAGCAAAGCACTCCAGCAAAAAAAGCATGCGAGGAATGCAGAAGTACTTCATCAGTGTCGCAGATGGACGATGAAAGCGACAGCTCCCCTGGCGGCCAGAAAAAAAAGTTAAATAGCCTCTGTGTATGTCTGTATATGTTGTATGTCAAAATTGGCATTGAATGTTTGCCATATATGTGTACACTGTAATTCGCCCTGAGTCCCCTGCAGGGTGAGAAGAGAGGAATATAAATGCTGTAAATAAATCAATAAATAATAAATTAATGAATTGCTTTTAATGTTTTAACATATTTGTTGACTATTTATATGATGATAGCATCATACGGTGCTTGTGTGAGGCCACCCTGAGTCCCCTCTTGGGGGGAGAAGGGCAGGATAAAAGTGTATGAAATAAATAAATAAATAAATTGGTGGCAAGGTCTATATGACAGTGCAATATAGTCTTCCTCCGAAGATTACAGAACAGATTTTCAATCAAAGGCTGAATGACTGTCTAGGGTGCTTTAGTCATGGATTCCTGTACAGCAGTTGCATCAGATGGTCATTGCGTTCGTTCCAACTCTATAATTACATGAATCTATTATTTGCAGACCATAAAGTTGGATGTTCCTGGCATCTGCAGAACAGAAGGTTGGATGTCCATGAGGTTGGACGGGAGGCAGAGGCCCCTTCTGCGCAGCTGTACAAAATCCACATTATCTGCTTTGAACTGGATTATATGGCAATGTAGATTAAGGTAATCCAGTTCAAAACAGATAGTGTGAATGTTCTGCTTTGATAACCTGGATTATCTGGCAGTGTAGAATGGGCCAGAATCACACAGATGGGAGGGAACCAGGTTTTAGGATACAGACAGTGGCAGAAATGAGTATGAGGTCAAGGACAGACTTTCCATCCCAAGTAGAAGTTACCTGTGCAAATCCTAGGAAGAAAAGCTGGTGGCTTGTGAGTTCCAAGGACGGAAGGTGTTTCTCCTCACCATTCTTCTTCAGCCAAACTTTATAAGCCTGCAAGGAAGCAAGAAAGAACCTATGCCTCCAGGTTCAATAGGGCCTAATCCTTTCCCTTGTTTACTGTGGCTCGAGAGACTGGAACATGTACGAATGGGTTTAAATTACAAGAAAACAGATTCCACCTGAATGTTAGGAAAAAATGTTCTTGAGTGTAAGGGTTGTTGAACAATGGAATGGACTGCTTCAGAGGGTGTGGGCTCTACTTCTTTGGAAGTCTTTAATTAATGTTGACAAGCTGGAATGTGTCCAGAGGAGGGCGACTAAAACGATCAAGGGTCTGGAGAACAAGCCCTATGAGGAGCGGCTTAAGGAGCTGGGCATGTTTAGCCTGAAGAAGAGAAGGCTGAGAGGAGATATGATAGCCATGTGTAAATATGCGAGGGAAAGTCATAGGAGGAGAGAGCAAGCTTGTTTTCTGCTCCCTGGAGACTAGGACACAGAACAATGGCTTCAAACTACAGGAAAGAAGATTTTACCTGAACATTAGGAAGAACTTCGTGACTGTGAGAGCTCTTCTGCCCTGGAGTGTGGTGCACTCCTTCTTTGGAAGCTTTTAAACAGAGGCTAGATGACCATCTGTCGGGGGTGCTTTGAATTTGATTTTCCTGCTTCTTGGCAGGGGATTGGACTGGATGGCCCATGAGGTCTTTTCCACATTCTATGTTTAATGTATTGTCGAAGGCTTTCATGGCTGGAATCACTGGGTTGTTGTAGGTTTTTTTCGGGCTATATGGCCATGTTCTAGAGGCATTCTCTCCTGACGTTTTGCCTGCATCTATGGCAAGCATCCTTAGAGGTAGTGAGGTCAGACCTCACAACCTCTGAGCATGCTTGCCATAGATACAGGTGAAATGTCAGGAGAGAATGCCTCTAGAACATGGCCATATAGCCTGAAAAAACCTACAACAACCCAGTCTTTAATTAAGTTTGAATGGGAGCTTTGGGGAATGCTTAACTCTGTATCCCTGCATGGCAAGAGGTTACACTAGACGACCATAGAATCATAGAATCAAAGAGTTGGAAGAGACCTCATGGGCTATCCAGTCCAACCCCCTGCCAAGAAGCAGGACTCTTCCTTTCCATCCAAAAATGATACTCTGATTCCCTTGGGATATCCAAGAACTTGGAGGCAAAGGAATTTAAGGTCCGCCAAGTCCTTTTGCCATGGCCTTCCTGTTGGGGGGAATGGTAGATGCCCACCATTCCCAACATAGCTTACTCACATTGTAGGCTGCCTTCAGTCCCCCATTGTCAGCAATGTTCTCGCCCAATGTCTGCTTTCCATTGACGTGCTCCCCATTGACCAGGTACTTGCTGTACTGTTCTGTCATGCACTCCGTCCGGTTTTTGAAAGCCTCCAGTGATGAGTTCTGCCACCATGGACGCAGATTCCCTTCTTTGTCGTACTCTCGGCCTGGAAGGAATAGAAATGGCTTTGATGGACCAGATTGGAGTCTCAGTTGGTCTTCAAGAGATTTCCTGGAGACAATTTTCCCTTCTCTACCTGTCCCTGACCAGATGTTTTCTGACTCCAAATCCTGAATCTCCCTAGCAAGAGAGGACGCTATCTCAAACCAAGCTCATGTCAGCCAGCAGTGCAGATTGCGGCTGGCAGTGGCTCTACAGTGCCTTGGATAACGCACTTTATCTACTCAGGTAGTTTAGATCCTTTAATGCCGAGGATTAAGCCAGGGCTACTGAGCTGTGTCTCAGCTACGAGTGAGTTACTGCCAACAAGCGGCAGCTTTATTATTTATTAACTTCCCTTGGTTAATGCTGTACGTAGTCTGCAGTAGAAACCAAAGGTCAGACTTTTGTGCAGAAGGAACTCACTCTGTGCTGAACTCTAGAAGACACACTGCATATGTTATGCAGAGAGGGCATAATGCATGTACATGCCTAGTTTGTTAGTTGCTACAAGTAAAAAAATATGTAGGAAACCTAACAATTGTAAACTGTAAACACTACTCCTCTGTTGCGTCAGCTCACTGGCTGCCAATTTGCTACCGAGCACAATTCAAAGTGCAGGCTTTAGCCTATAAAGTCCTAAACGATTCCAGCCCAGCTTCCCTATCCGAACGTATATCCTCCTATGAACCATCTAGGACAGAGGTTCTCAACCTTCCTAACGCCACGACCCCTTAATACGCTTCCTCGTGTTGTGGTAACCCCCAACGATAAAATTAGTTTCATTGCTACTTCATAATTGTTATTTTGCTGCTGTTATGAATAGTAATGTAAATATCTGATATGCAGGATGTATTTTATTCACTGGACCAAATTTGGCACAAATACCCAATACACCCAAATGTGAATACTGGTGGGTTTGGGGGAGGGGTTGATTTTGTCCTGTGGGAGTTGTAATTGCTGGGATTTATAGTTCACGTACAATCAAAGCACATTCTGAACTCCACCAACAATGGAATTGAATCAAACTTGGCACACAGAACTCCCATGACCAACAGAAAATACTGGAAGGGTTTGATGGGCATTGACTGTGAGTTTGGGAGTTGTAGTTCACCTACATTAAGAGAACACTGTGGACTCAAACAATGATGGATCTGGACCAAACTTGGCACGAAATCTCAATATGTCCAAATGTAAACACTGATGGATTTTGGGGAAAATAGACCTTGACATTTGGGAGTTGTCGTTGCTGGGATTTATAGTTCACCTACAATCAAAGAGCATTCTGAACCCTACCAATGATAGAATTGGGCCAAACTTCCTACATTGAACCTCCATAACCAACAGAAAATACTGTGTTTTCTGGTGGTCTTTGGTGACTCCTCTGACACCCCCTCGTGACCCCTCCAGGGGTCCTGACCCCCAGGTTGAGAAACACTGATCTAGGAGCTTAAGATCATCTGGGGTGGCCCTGCTCTCAATCCCACCTGCCTCGCAAGTGTGATTGGCAGAGACGAGGGACAGGGCCTTCTCAGTGGTGGCCCCCCAGCTATGGAACTCCTTCCCCAGGGATATTAGATCGGCTCCCTCCTGACTTTCCAAAAAAAGTAAAGACCTGGCTTTTTGAGCAAGCTTTTGAGAATGCAGTGGAATAGATAACATGGAACTATTAATGATGAACATGGAATGACCAAATGATGTTACTGGATAACGTTTTTAACAGGATGACACTGATGATTATATGTTTTAACGGTTTTTATATATGTCTTATTTTGCAATGTTGATTGTTTTTAATGGCACTTTTATGAATGCCTGGCATCGAATTGTGTCAATCTGTAACCCGCGTTGAGTTGCCGTATGGCTAAGAAAGGCGGGTTACAAATATTGTAAATAGATAAAGAAATCAATAAACTTTTTGCTCCTCCATTTGCATTCTGAGCTGTTTGACAGGCATTATACATAGAATTTGAGACACATATTCCCAACTGTAAGGGCTAAAACCTTGTTTTATTTAAAATGCAATAAAAATCAAATTTATTTATTAATTTACAATATTTATATGCTGCTCTTCTCAACCCAAAGGGGACTCAGAGCGGCTTATAAGTAATATATAAATACAATATATTATATTATTACCATAGCACAATATTAGTATTATATATACAAATTATACTAAAGAGAGCAGACATCTTACCATCAGTTGTTTACTGCCACTTTTCATTGTGTTGTTGTGCTGTATGGGCATGTTGACTGCATATTGATATTGTTTTTATATTGCTTTTTAACTGCCATATTTGTTCCGGTTCTGTATTTGTGGCCTGTTCATTGTCCATTTTTGCATTTATTTTGGGTGGTTCCCAGGACTACATATATATGTTCATACCCTTAATGTATGTTATTTCTTGTGATTTTTCTCAGCTAAACTTTAGTACATATTATTCACCAGTTGAAAGTTTGATGCTTTTTCAGAACTTTCTGTTTCTGATTTTGGTTTTGATCGCTTTTATTTTGTGCCTTCAAGTCATTTCTTACTTGTGGTGACCCTAAATGACCCTATCACAAGGGGAGGGTTGGCTCTGGATTATGGTTTTAGGGACTAGTGTTTGAATCCTCTTTTGGAAGATCTTCTGGATGTGTAAACACTAGATCAGTATGGATCTGGCTGTCCATAACTCCAAAACACCAGAATCTCTCTGTCAATTACCCTTGCACCGGATTGATATCTGGATGCAGTGTTTCTGCAATGAATCAAGCTATACATCATGAGGTCTCCCTGCAATAGTTGAAAGATAAGTCTGTTTTATTTGATCTATGTAGACATAGCCTAAGAAAAGGAGGGAGGTTGTCCTTAGATGCCCCCTACCCATGCAGAGAATATGAATTATCACCAAGTGAGATGGAAGAGGACCACAAGCAGTACAAAGAAAAGATGATGGGGAAGGGTCACCTGGAGAGACAGGAGGGCAAACAGATAGTGAAACAGCAGATTCCATCAGAATGAAAAAGGCTGATGACTAAATATGGCAAGAATATAAATACGATACAGTGTGTGTTCACACCTGTGAATAAACAGGCCCCTAACAACTTGAAATATATTGTGGATCTTTTGTATAGAGTTAGCCAGCCACTTAAGCTGACAAGATAGATACCTTAGAAGGCATTAAATAAGCTGGAAATGTTATTTTTTGAACTTTTTTTTGTATCAGAAGCAGCTTGAGAAACAGCAAGTTGCTTCTGGTGAGAGAGAATTGGCCGTCTGGCCCAGGGGACGGCCGGATGTTTTATCATCCTGTGGGAGGCTTCTCTCATGTCCCTGCATGGGAAGTTGGAGCTGACAGATGGGAGCTCTCCCCACTCCCCAGATTCAAACAGCTGACCTTTCAGTCAGCAGTCCTGCCAGCACAAGGGTTTAATGGCGCTTCATGCAGTCATGCCGGCCACATGACTTTGGAGATGTCTATGGACAACGCCAGCTCTTCAGCCTACAAATGGAGATGAGCACCACACCCCAGAGTCAGACATGACTGGACTTAATGTCAGGGGACAACCTTTACCTTTTACCAATGAGACAATGCCCAGACACCTCCCATCCAGTAGTGTCTCTGACCATGGATATGGGAAGAAAGGAGGTTCTGGCAGCTGTATTCTGAAAAGGGAACATTTCCAAGTTCTGGGCGAAAGTATTATGTGCATTAATTCAGAACTCGATTCTTAAAACTGCTTCAACTATGCTGATTTCCTATAGAATCTGAGATTCAGAACTCTTTGGAACGAGCAGATGACTTGTTCAGTAAGGAGGACCAAAACCATGACCAGGTTTGCAAAACTGGTTAAGGCACGATGTGTTAGGCACTTGTGTGGAATGGAGCCAAAACGGAATGGGGGAAAATGACAATGGGACATAAAGCTATCTGATCTGTATAAAAAGAGAAATAGAGCAGTGAAAATGTGTAGAGTTAGCAACACAAAAAGGTTGACAACAAAAGGTTATCTCTCCTTTAAACAGATGAGGCACGCATAATGGAAAATGCCACACGCATCCATTTGGGAGGTTGCAGAGCTTGGTCCTACCTTGGTCATCAAAAGCATGGGTGAGTTCATGCCCCATCACAACGCCAATGCCTCCGAAGTTGAGGGCCCTCAAAGGAAGAAAGTGGGAGAAAGTACAAAGTCAGAACCTCATTAGGCCTGCATTTTATTGGTTTTGTGTGCGGTGCTATGGACTCTTCCAATTTTTTTCGTTGTTGAAAAAGTAGCACAGCAATTCCAGTAAACTTTAGGGAATTGTGCTTCTTCTTTCACTTTGCACTTTGTTCCCCCTGAAGTGCCCCAAAGAGGTTTTGCAAGCTGGAAGGAGTTGGCCATGCATCCCATGGTGGCCCCTGAGGAGATGAAAATGGCCCCTAGAGACCACCCACTTCTTTTCTGATGAAACACTGAATAATGTATTGTCGAAGGCTTTCATGGCTGGAATCACTAGGTTCTTGTGGGTTTTTTCGGGCTATAGGGCCATGTTCTAGAGGCATTTTTGACGTTTCACCTGCATCTATGGTAAGCATCCTCACTACCTCTGAGGATGCTTGCCATAGATGCAGGCAAACGTCAAAAATGCCTCTAGAACATGGCCCTATAGCCCGAAAAAACCCACAAGAACCTAACACTGAATAAGCTAGTGCTGTGAAAGTCACAGCAAGTCTGTGAGTGGGCAGGCAAGGGAGAGCAATGGCCTCAGATCAGGGATGAGAAAAGAATGAGAGGACAAATTGGAAAACCTTGCAATGTTTACATCATGCCCACAATACTTGGATTCTCTGCAACAAATAGGAGTAAATGATGGGTTGGCATTTGCAGGCTGAGTGGCCAGTGAGAAATAGCCAAAGGTTTGTATTGTCGAAGGCTTTCATGGCTGGAATCACAGGGTTGTTATAGTTTTTTGGGCTATATGGCCATGTTCTAGAAGCATTCCCTCCTGACGTTTCGCCTGCATCTATGGCAAGCATCCTCAGAGGTTTTGGGACCTCACAACCTCTGAAGATGCTTGCCATAGATGCAGGTGAAGCATCAGGAGTGAATGCTTCTAGAACATGGCCATATGGCCTGAAAAACCCACAACAACCCAGCCAAAGGATTGTGTCTATAGTACATTTGTTTCCTTTCATCATTGCAGTATGAGCCGAGAGCAAAAACACTATTCCAAAACCTGGGAAAAAAATCCAAAATCCAATTATTCTGGTCCCAAATTTTGGGAAAGGGATACTCAACCTCTATATGCATCCCAGTCAGTTTTTGTCATGTATCATGTTCTGCAGTTGTTGGTGGTTGATGGCGGTAGGCCTAACAGTTGGTGATGGAAGGGTTAGTCTTAGTCTAAAGGGTTGAGTAATCTGTAAGTAAGAGTTCATGGGTGAAAGCAGTTAAGGGTGGAGGTATGCAAGAGATGGGTTGCAGCTGGGTGTTTCTGGATATCAGGAGCTAGCCTTAGGACTGATATTTGGGGGAAAAGTATTTGTCTTATTTTGGTGGTAGATGCTGCTGGTTTCCCCCCAGGTTTGTTGGATTTCTGGTATCCCGACCTGTCTTCTGTAATCTTGGAACTCTGGAACTGTGATGGCGCGTCAGGCCCCACTTGTATGTGAATGTACAGTTGAATTGTTTGGCTATCTACTGCTTTCTATCAATGTTGTTTGCATCTGTTGAATTGCCTCCCCTGCTTAATTGTTTGGCTCCTCCCCTTCCTGGGGAAGAGGACAGGGCTTTCTTTTCATTCTACCATCAAACATCTCAGCAGATTGACGTGAGAAAGACTTAGCTCCAAAAGCCCTCAGTTAAGTCATCTCTCTTCACCAATTCTTAAGTTTGTACTCTTAAGATTCATTCTTCATATCCAGCTCACCTGGACGACGTTGCGGAATCTTAAGCGCCTTCAAGCCAGTCCTTTGGCATCAAGAGGAAGACTTTGTGCTTTCAATTATAGGTCATTGGACTGGGGTTGAGAAAGCTCAGGCCTTCACAGCCATTGAGAAAAAGGGAACTTGGAAAGCTTCTCAAACTCCTTGGATCCAAGACTCCAAAGATTGTAACGTATGTTTTCTTTATCCCTTTTGAATATCAAGTTTATGCCTATGGAAGATAACTCATTGTGAACAATAAAGACTATTTCGAGTTATCTATAGTGTTTTGGTCCTTGGAAGTTCCAGTTCTCTAAAGGAGGGCAAGAAGCAATCCCCTGGGGAGAGGTGTCACGTCCATATTACTTTCACTAAGATCTATAGACCCCAGGCGTGACGGCACAGGAACCTTGAACCTCTGGACTGGCTTTTGACTATGGTATAGACTCTTGATCCCTGGACTTTGTTTACTGAACTCTCTGCGTTTGACCACTGGACTGGGCCCGGTGTAGCATTTGCTATCTGTTTTTGTTCTGTGGCTGAGTGCTATCTTTATGTTTTATGTTTTGGACTATTGAAACAGCCAGAAAGTAAGTGCTGTTTTAATTAAATTGTTTAATACAAACTGGGTGTTTGTTTGATTCACCTCTGCCAGAAATAATGGCAGAGCTCTGGCAATGTGATAGTTTTAAAAAGAGAGAAACCAAAGCACACTGACGCACTTGGGATGGTTGCGAGCATAGAAAGGGGCCTGGAGGATCCCTGCAGGAAAGACAATGCCGTTCTTGTTCGGGAGGTAGTAAGCGTTGACTGTCTGTGGGGTCATGCTCCACCTGGAAAAAGGAGTTAAACATATATGTTATAAAATTTGGAAAATATTACATTTATGCAAAGCTGTCATCAGCAAAAAAGAACCATCCTAGATGACTCCTACTGATGGAAATGGCAAACATCAAGCATACTTGGAGCTCTTCTGGTGCCTGTTGGCTCCAAGCTGCATATTTTAATACTTCCCAAGAAGGGAATGCAATCTTCCACATTTCAAGAGCAGCGATGTCAGTGTTGGAAAAACTAACAATCTTGCATGCACATTGAAATGGTTCTGCAGTCTGTATGTTTCTGTGTTACCTCCCTCTCTTGCCTTGTTGGGCTTTATGGCACCCTCATTTAACAATTTGCACGGGGTTCAGGGAGCTTCCTTCATTGTGAACATGGCCCAAATCATGTAGGCAACTCTTTGAAGTCAGAAGGTTATAAAAGAGAGGCACTTTCTTTGTTTGGTATTGATTTGGTCTTTCGGTTTTACTCTTAACAGAATGACTATCATCCACTTCCAGCTACATAGTTAGCATGCCACATTTATTTACTCTATTTATTTATTTACTCTATTTGTATACCGCATATATCAGCCTGAGGCGGCGACTCAATGCGGTTTACAGTAAAAGCAACACTAAACAATATATGAGACGCACAATACAAACAACACACATAATCATCAACGCCATACTTAGAATCAGATTCCGATCTCTAAGTCCTTTTCCATTCCTTGTCTGATGCCGTCATTATTGAGTTAGTTGTTACTACACAGTTATCCAAATGCCTGCTCGTAGAGCCACGTCTTCACATGGTCGCCTGATCTTACCTTAGGCCCATGCTCTAAAGTTACGAGATAATGCTACCTTTTTTAGTCTCTATTTTTGGATTGTACTTTTGATATACTGCAACAAAGTTGTCTTGTACCACTCAAGATTTTGTGAGTAAACTACTTTTATTACATCAACCAGCTGATGTGGAGTCTTTTGTTTTTTTTGGTGGTTCTGAATGCATTTTCCTTTGCATGCTAAATAGGGGTGCTGTGATCAATTATTAAGTAAGCTTTAACTATATTGTCGAAGGCTTTCATGGCCGGAATCACTGGGTTGTTGTAGGTTTTCCGGGCTATATGGCCATGTTCTAGAGGCATTTTCTCCTGACGTTTCGCCTGCATCGCTTGCAATTCAGTACAAGGCTTTAGTACAAGGCTTGCAAACAAGCAAGAGGTTAGAGGTCAAAGGAATGCTTTCATGCTGGGAAAGTATATTTAGTGAGCTGGTTGAAGGCAACCTTTTGTCAGTGCAACTTCAGTGAACACCTTGATAACTTCTTTGGATTGCCTGGGCTTTTGGGCCATGCTTTTGGCTTCTTGGGACTTTGTTTTGGATCTTGGCTTCTTGGGACTCTGTCATGCTGCCATGGAATCTTGTTTGATCAATGCTTATGGATTATGCTTCATGTTATTTGCCTTTGGACTTTGGAAACTCTGCCTTTGCATTTAAGACTCTGTTTGACTATTGAACTTTTGCAACTTTACTTTTGTGTTTAAGACTTTGCATTTTCTTTAATAAACTACAAAACCTACAACCTTGATGTGTGTGGTGTTCTGAGCAAGGTGAATCTATCCTGAGGTGCGACATCTCATTCCTCTGCCTTTTCTAAACCCAGCGTGTACATCTGGCAACTCTCTCTCTCTCCATGTCTTGCTGGAATCTTACTTGCAGGATCTTGAGCATTACCTTACCGGCATGTGAAATAAGTGCCACTGTACGAAAGTTTGAGTAGTCTTTAGCATTACCCTTTTTTTGTATGGGGATATAAGTTGATTTTTTTATGCATTTGTGAATTTTGCTTTTTTAGAGATGTGGCTCCTAAAGAGATTGATTGATTGAAAGTTGAGGTACAATCAATCAATCAATCAATCAATTTCTTCGGAAGCCATATCTCTAGAAAAGCAAAACTCACAAGCACAAGCTCCCTTAAGGGTATAATTCCTCTCCAAGGACCCCCTTTGACAGCAATATGTTAGGGGCAAAAGGATAGAGAGATTTTAAAAGTGAAGGCTTATACTTGTGATCCAGCCAAAAAAAGGAAAACATGGAAAGAAAAGATAAGACTGCTCCCAAGGGGATCCTTTTGCTCCTGAACCTGTGCTCTCTGCCCTCTCCCCAATGAACAGAATGATCACAAAGGGGTTTTTTTTTGGGGGGGGGTGTCCTTACTGGTCTCGATTGGGGGGCTTCCTCAACTGGTCTGCCATGAACCGAGCAGAGAAATTGTAGAAGTTCAGCATGTTCTGGAAGAAGGAATCTTCTGAGACGTCATACTAAGGGAGGAGAATAGAGCAGAGAAGAAAAAGGGCTGAATGAAGACAAAGCTCTTTAGCCAGAAAAGATTCATAGCATTGTGATAGGGGCATGAAAAGCATTAGTGGGTTTGCACAATCATATAAATTTGCAGTGAAACACCTGTATCCATGGGACCGGTATCCATGGTCTCATTTAGCCACATGTGACAAAATATGCCATCTCGGAAATTTCAATTGATCCAACGGGCGGCAGCCAGGCTACTTACTGGGGAGACTTACACGGAGTGGTCAACCCCCCTGTTTAAGGAGTTCCATTGGCTGCCGTTCATTTTCCAATTCCAATTCAAGGTGTAGGTTCTTACCTACAAAGCCCTGAACGGTTTGGGACCCGCCTACCTGCATGACCGCATTTCTGTGTACGAACCCACGCGATCTCTCCGATCATCTGGGGAGGCCCTGCTCTCGCTCCCACCTCTCCTGCAGGCACGATTGGTGGGGACAAGGGAGAGGGCCTTCTCCATGGTGGCCCCCCGACTCTGGAACTCACTCCCCAAGGATATCAGGCAAGCCCCCACATTGGCAGTCTTTAGGAGGAGCCTGAAAATGTGGCTGTTCCAGTGTGCCTTCCCTGAATAAAGGAACAATCCCCTGCAAAATACCCTGAAAAGCACTTTAATTACCCATTGGGTTGCTCTGTACTCTTGGTTTAAAACCCTTCTACTAGATACATCCTCTGTTCATGTCCAGCATTTACTTTTAAAGTTTTAACTATTACATCTGGCCCAGCCATAGGCTTTTAAATTCTTCTGTGTTATTGTCCATGTCTGAGCTATACTAATTGTATTGTTTATTTTGTTTATTGCTTGTTGTTTTTACTATTGTTTGTTGTTTTATCGATATGTTGTTGGGCTTGGCCTCATGTAAGCTGCTCCGAGTCCCTTGGGGAGATGGTGGCAGGGTATAAATAAAGTATTATTATTATTATTATTATTATTATTATTATTATTATTATTATCTCTAGGCATTTTCTAGGTGCTCCAACATATTCCATTAAAGTAGTGTCTGCTATTATCCATGGTTTTCTGTATCCACACTAAATCCAGGAAGGTAGCCCTTGCAGACTACAGGGTCAGACTGTATAAATATGCTTAAGAAATGTAATATATAGTAAATAAGCATTTCATAGTTAATTAAACAGGAGCGGTTTGAGGAACTGCAAGTTGCTTCTGGTGTGAGAGAATTGGCTGTCTGCAAGGACGTTGCCCAGGGTATGCTTGGATGTTTGATGTTTTGCCATCCCGTGGGAGGCTTCTCTCATGCCCCTGCATGAGAAGCTGGGGCTGACAGACAGGAGCGCACCTTGCTCCCCAGACTAAAAACACCGACTTTTCGGTCAGTGGTCCTGCTGGCACAAGGGTTTAACCTATTGCACCATTGGGGGCTCAAAAAAATAAACATGCAGCCTTTCTGGCCATTGCAATACTCTATGCAAGGTCATCATACTTCACATAGATGCTGGTTTTGCAGTGCCTTGGGGTGAATCTACACAGTAGAATGAATACAGTTTGACACAATTTTAACTGCCATGGCTCAATGCTGTGTTGTAGTTTGGCACTCATTTGCAAAGATCGCTAAAGATTTTGTGAAACTACAACTCCAGGATTTGGCCCACAGGCCTTGTGTTTGACACATGTATTCTACAGTGTAAGGCAGTGGTTCACAACCTTTCTAACACCGGGACTCCTAAATATGGTTCCTCATGTTGTGGTGACCCCCAACCATAAAATTATTTTTGTTGCTCCTTTATAACTGTAATTTTGCTACTGTTATAAATCGTAATGTAAATATCTGATATGAAGGATGTGTTTTAATTGTTACAAATTCAGCATAATTCAAGCATCATTATTAATCAGGAAAAAATGGATTTGCAGTACCTTCAACTGATTCAGCGCTGACTTCCACAGACCACTGAGACTTCCACACAGAACTCCCGGATGGTGAGAATGCGAGGTGGGCTTTGCGCGAGGCCAGGCCTCGCACGGAGAGCCCCTCGCCTTCCCCGTGCCCTCGCTGATGGCGAGAACGCGAGGCAGGCTTTGTGCGAGGCCATGCCTCATGTGGAGGACCTCTTGCCTGCCCCACGCCCTTGCCAATGGCGAGAACGCGAGGCAGGCGAGTGTTGTGGCTGAGATGTTCTGTGATGATGAGGATGATGGGATTCAGATTCCTGGCTCTTTTTCTGTGCCTCAGATCTCTGGGCCTGCGGCTCCCACAGACAGCACAGACAGTGCAGAGTCAGACAGTGCAGAGTCAACATCAACACAGCGGTTCTCAGGAGAAAAGAATTTTAACGAAGGAGATAGCGAACAGGTGGGGAGGCATTTGCCTCCTTCCCATGCTGAAACTGAAAGTACTGAAAGCCTTGATAGTGACCTGACCCGGCAAGCTCGTCTTGATTTGCAGGTCAGCCGGAGTTCTCGCCTGGCCAGCAGACGAGAGGCCAGCTCGGTGAAAGGTCATCGCAATGATTTCATGTAATGTTTTCATGTTAGAAAGGTATTTAGGCTTCTTGCAAACCAAGGGAAAGCATCAGTTCAATGTAGCTTATTAGCCTGAAAGTTTCATGGAATAACCTTAGCCTGGAAAGCAGTACGCTTGGGATTTCTTGCATTGTGATTCATGGGGCAATTGTTTCATTGCTTGTACCTGGGACTTTGGTTTGAACTTTGCCAAAAGGATTGTGTCTCCTGCTTTTACCTGAAGATCTTTGGAACTATATTCTGCATTTAACCTTAATCTTTGGAACTTTGCAATGCTTATTCTTTATTTTGACTTGGATTTTTTCCTCAATAAAATATAAAACTACAGCTCTTGTGTGGTGGTGTTTGGAAGCAAGGCGAAGCTTACTCTGAGTTGCAATGGCGAGGGGGGTTTGCGCAAGGCTAGGCCTCGTGCAGAGGATGCCTCGCCTGCCACGTGCCCTTGCCGGATGACGAGAGAGCGAGGCAGGCGAGGTGGGCTTTGCGCGAGGCCAGGCCTCGCATGAACGAGCCCTCGCCTGGCCCGCGCCCTTGGGGTGGGGCCAATGGAGGCAGCCTTGCGACCTCTCCGAAATGGCCAGGTGACCCCCAGGTTGAGAACCGCTTGTGTAAGGATTCATACCCCATCGTAGACGTCATCCAGCTCCTTATCATCAAGGATGAACTCCGGGAAGCCAATCATATCATAGATGGAGTCCGCCTGCAGAAAGAGAAGGATGGGGAGAAAGTATCAATGTAGGCTAATAGTTAGCAAAACTGCAATAATGTTTTGATTGCTGGAAGCATTAAAATATAAATGTAGATTTTTTAAAAATTCATACAATCATAAATTACAGAACTGGAAGGGACCACAAACGTCATTTTGTCCAGACTCCTGCCAGTGCAGTCACCAATAGCAAAACCTCTGATGGCCATCTAAATGCGTCCATGACACCTTCTACCTACTATGTTTCTTTTGTACATCTGGCAACTTCCATGCAAATGGGAAACATAAGCAGACACCATATGGGAAGCGCTAATGCAGAAGGCAAGTGTCTTTTTCTTTTTACACATACCATATGTGTTTTTATAAAGAGCTCCATAATCGTTAGGGAACAGATTTTAAAAAAGGAAATTATCATTCTCAGAATCCCCAACTTGAAAAGGTCACAGGCCACAAGGTCACCTTCTCTTTAGCCGCTTGCCTGGTCTTCTCATCCATCCAGTCAAGTTGGTCCAGTGATTCCTCAAAGGCTGAGCGGATCTCGGCAATCATGTCCTCGGCCTGAAAGCAAACACGCAAACATGCAAGAAGAGGGAGAAAGGGCATCAGTGCTTTCTTCTTCATTCTCCACCCCAGTAGTTATACATTGCTTTGGTTTGCATAAAAAACTAGGAAAGAAAGGGAAAACATATGGTTTTATCCTTCTTTTTCCAGCTTCCATAAAATAATGTCCTTCCCTACAAATGCTTTCCTTCGTTATTGAGTTTAATTTTTCAAAGACAACGAAGAGTGTTAGTGAGTACTCACATCTATATAAATAAAAATGTAATGTTCGTTTGTGGGATTAACAGAACTCAAAAACCACTGGACGAACTGACACCAAATTTGGACACAAGACACCTAACAACCCAATGTATGTCCTTCACTCATAAAACACAGTAAAACACAGCAGAAGGGACTTTAATAGCCCCAAAAAGCTAAATGACGGAAAGCTAAATGACAATACAGAAAAAAAAGGGGAGAAAGAGGGACGGAAGGGGAGAAAAGAAAGGAAAAAAGAAAGAAAGAAAAGAAAGAGAGGGAGGGAAAGAAAGAAGGAAAGGGAGAAGGAAGCATGGAAGCAAAGAGAGAAGGAAGGAAGGAAGAGGTAAAGAAGGAAGAAGGAAAAGAGGGAGGGAAAGAAAAGGGGAAGGAAGGAAAGTTAGAGAGAAAGGAAGGAGAAGGAAAGAAAAAGAAAGAAGGAAGGAAAGAGGAAGGAAGGAAAGAGAAGGAAGAAAAGAGAGAAAGAAGAGAAAGAAAAGGAAGAAGGAAAGAGATAGAGAAGGAAGGAAGAGAGAAGGAAAGACAGGAAAGCAGGAAGGAAAGAGGGAGTGAAGAAGGAGGGAAAGAAGGAGAGAAAGAGGGAAGGTTGGCCACAGCAGCACGTGGCAGGTACAGCTAGTCTATATAAATAAAAATGTAATGTTCATTTGTGGGATTAACAGAACTCAAGAACCACTGGACGAATTGGCACAAAATTTGGACACCTAACCACCCAATGTATGTCCTTCACTAAAAAAAAATGATTTTGTCATTTGGGAGTTGTAGTTGCTGGGATTTATAGTTCACCTACAATCAAAGAGCATTCTGAACCCCACCAATGGAATTGAACCAAACTTGGCACACAGTTCTCCCATGACCAACAGAAAATACTGGAAGGGTTTGGTGGGTAGTGTCCTTTGGTTTTGGAGTTGTAGTTCACTTACATCCAGAGATCACTGTGGACTCAAACAATGATGGATCTGGACCAAACTCTACACGAATAGTCAATATGTCCAAATGTGAACACTGGTAGAGTCTGGGTAAAATAGAATCTTGACATTCGGGAGTTGCAGTTGCTGGGATTTATAGTTCACCTACAATCAAAGAGCATTTGGAATCCCACCAACGATAAAATTGGGCAAAACCTCCCACACAGAACCCTCATGTGGGCCATAGCAACGTGTGGCAGGGGATGGCTAGTTCATCATATAAATTTACATCTATATCCATGATATCCATGATTCATGATTCCATGATTCCATTTATCCACATCTGACAAAACATGCCATCTCTAGGCATTTTCTAGGTCCTCCCACATATTGGTATTCTATTACAATGTGTTCGCTATATCCATTGTTTTCTGTATTCACGCTAAATTTACTATATCCACACTAAGTTTTCTGTATTCACGCTAGGACTCCTGCAGACTACGTGGTCATATTGCGTATGCTTAAGAAATGTACTATATAATAAGTGGGCATTTGATAATTATTATTGATACCAGCCTGTAACAATAATATTAATCATGCAACTTTTCCAGCCATTGCAATAGTCTATGCAGGTGGGTGACTAAAATGATCAAGGGTCTGGAGAACAAGTCCTATGAGAAGCAGCTTAAAGAACTGGGCATGTTTAGCCTGCAGAAGAGAAAGTTAAAAGGAGACACAATGAGGGCCATGGATCAAGATGTGAGGGGAAGTCATAGGGAGGAGGGAACAGGCTTGTTTTCTACTGCCCTGGAGACTAGGACACAATGGAACAATGGCTTCAAGCTACGGGAAAGGGAATTCCACCTGAACATTAGGAAGAACACTAGGAAGAATGTGAGAGCTGTTCAGCAGTGGAACTTTCTGCCTCAGAGTGTGATGGAGGCTTCTTTTTAAAACAGAGGCTGGATGGGCTCTACAGGCCAATGGAAACTACACCTCAGACATCAGAAGAGCTGCAAGACTGAGAACAAGCCACGAGAGTCAAGACAAAGATCCACCCAGAGGAAAAGTGTTCCTGCCATACATCAAGGGAACCACTGACTGCATAGGAAAGCTGATGAGGAAACACAACATACAAACTATCTACAGACCCACCAAGAAACTCCAACAAATGCTGCATTCAGCAAAGGACAAGAGGGATCCTCTCACCTCTGCAGGAGTCTACCGTGTACCATGCAGCTGTGGACAAGTCTACATAGGGACCACCAAACGCAGCAGCATTGCCCAAACATGAATCAAGGAACATGAAAGGCACTGCAGACTACTTCAACCACAGAAGTCAGCCATAGCAGAGCACCTGGTGAACCAGCCTGGACACAGGATATTATTTGAGAACACAGAAATGCTGGACCACTCCAACAACCACCATGTCAGACTACACAGAGAAGCCATTGAAATCCACAAGCATGTGGACAATTTCAACAGAAAAGAGGAAACCATGAAAGTGAACAAAATCTGGCTACGAGTATTAAAAAAAACCTCTAAAATTACAACAGCAAAACAACAGAGAGGAAACAAACAAGGACATGTAATCACCTCTCAACAAAAGATTGCCCCAGGCACTGCCAGGCCATCAAATGCTAATCAATGAGGTTCAGCAGTGGAACTCTCTGCCCCAGTGTGGTGGAGGCTCCTTCTTTGGAGGCTTTTAAACAGAGGCTGGATGGCCATCTGTCGGGTGCTTTGAATGCAATATTCCTGCTTCTTGGCAGGGGGTTGGACTGGATCTCTCAAGAAAAGTTTGCTCTAAGCACTGTCAAACCATTATGTGCTAATCAAGGTGGTCAGTTGAAACATTCACACCTAGCTCCAGCAGACAAGAGTCCTTTGTCCCACACTGGTCATTCCACAATATAAACCCTTTTTCCTAGTTCCAACAGACCTCACTACCTCTGAGGATGCTTGCCATAGATGCAGGCGAAACGTCAGGAGAAATGCCTCTAGAACATGGCCATATAGCCCGAAAAAACCTACAACAACCCAGTGATTCTGGCCATGAAAGCCTTCAACAATACAGAGGCTGGATGGCCATCTGCCAGGGGTGCTTTGAATGCGACTTTCCTGCTTCTTGGCAGGGGGTTGGACTGGATGGCCCATGAGGTCTCTTCCAACTCTAGGAAGATTCTATCACACTTCACAAAGGTGCTGGCTTTGGAATGCCTTGGGGTACATCTACACAATGAAACTGATACAGTTTGACATCACTTTAGCAGGTTATGGAATTCTGGGAGTTGTAGTTTGGCGGGGTACCAGCTCTCTTTGGCAGAGAGGGCTAAAAAGACTTTATGAAACTGCAGCTCCAATAGTTCCCAAGCATTGAGCTATGGCAGTTAAAATTGTGTCGAACGACATTAATTCTGCAATGTAGATGCCCCCGTAGAAACCGTTCCTTTGTAGTTAGATGATATGTCGCTTGGCCTTTGAAAGTGTGGGTACTTTTAGAACAAAAGAATGGATATGTAAAGATCAGAAGAAAGGAAAGTCCATAATCAGGGCTACAGAGAGTGCATTTGGCCATAATCCAACGTGGCCCGTGGTGCGGATGTTTGGTTCATTAAAAGGACCACAATGAAGGGCAGCTGAGACAAAGGGCAGGTTCAACTGGCTGAAGGGATGGGAGCGATCTTTGTTTTCAGGCTTTATTGCTGCATTGCCTTTAACCTCTTTATGCAATCAATAAACCATTATTTTGTTGCATCAGTGACTTCGCCTCATTTTGTGATATCCTTGACCTAGTAGGGCTGAAGCCTGGATGCATAAGGGACCCAGAACTGTTGCTTCTTTCCATTTTTTTTTTCATTTTTTTCACCCTTCTCAACAGTAATTTTAGCCATTTCCTTCATATTGTGAAAAGGTTTTTTAAAACCATGTAGTTTTCAAGACTTGCTTAGAATTTGAGTTTTATTCTGTTCAAAATAAACAATTGTTTCCTGGGTTGTTGTACTTTTTTGGGCTGCAACGCCATGTTCCAGAAGCATTCTCTCCTGACGTTTCGCCTGCATCTATGGCAGGCATCCTCAAAGGTTGCGAGGTCTGTTGGAAAGTAGGAAAATGGGAGAAAGACTTCTTGTCTTATTTCCCCAGACAGTAAGAAGCTAGACATTGAAACTGCTAGGCTATTAAATGCTAATCAAGGTAGCCAATTGCAACATTCACACCTACCTCAAACAGACAAGAGTTCTTTCTCCCACCTCAGACATTCCACAGATATATAAACCCCATTTTTCTGGTTTCCAACAGATCCCTCAACTTCACTCTCACAACCACCGTGTAAGACTACACAGAGAAGCCATAGAAATCCACAAGCATGTGGACAATTTCAACAGAAAGGAGGAAACCATTAAAGTGAACAAAATCTGGCTACCAGTATTAAAAAAAACTCTAAAATTACAACAGCAAAACAACAGAGAGGAAACAAACAAGGACATCTAATCACCTCTCAACAAAAGATTTCCCCAGGCACTGCCAGGCCATGATATGCTAATCAAAGTGGTCAGTTGAAACATTCACACCTAGCTCCAGCAGACAAGAGTCCTTTGTTCCACCCTGGTCATTCCACAGATATATAAACCCCTTTTCCTAGTTCCAACAGACCTCACTACCTCTGAGGATGCCTGCCATAGATGTGGGAGAAACATCAGGAGAGAATGCTTCTGGAACATGGCCCTACAGCCTGGAAAACTCACAACAATCCAGTGATTCTGGCCATGAAAGCATTCAACAATATCATTATTTCCTGCATTTTCATTGCAGGAAAGAGCAATTTTTGGCAAAAAAAAAAGTTCAGAAAATACACTTTTTGGACAAAAATGCTATTTTTTCTATGCAAAATAACATGCAAATTCTATGCAGAATATTTTCCCCCACTAAATCATGTTCTGTTCAGGAAAAGGCATTTTCTGCACAAAAATAGTATTTGCACAAAAAGGTTAGAAATAGCACTTCTGCATAGAAACATTATTTTGTGCCCAGAAAATGCTAGAGTTTGTGCAAAATAACCACAGGTAAACTGAGAAACCTGGTTGCCTTGCATGAATGCCATGTTCCCAAAAGGTTATGACTCTAAGAGGTCATGCTTTCTACCAAGAGGTTATGGCATTATTTTTCAAAAGGTTATGACTTCTAACAAACTCATGCCTTTTCAAAGATCATAAAATCTCCAAAAGGTTATGGAGATTGCCATTTTCCAATAACCACAAACTGTGAAGTTTCTCGTTCATCTACGATCCTTCAAGTAACAGGTTTTTTAATACTTTTGTTCAAGTATTCTTTCCATCCCCACCAGGATACTCAAGATACTCACAATCTGCTTGCTGTGTCGGTCGAAGGTGGCTTTTACGAACAACGATCCCAAGGCAAACCCCAAAGTATCATCCGTGTTGGAGATGCAGGTTTGCCAGCGAGGGGTGCAGGACTCCAGGGAAAGAAAGAGAGAAACAAAGTGAGATGTGAGAACTCTATTCCTCTCAAAAGTATAGTTCACAAGACTATATAGCAGGCATGAGCCAAAGTTCGCCCAGGCCTGCCGTACGGGAAGGAGCTGCTCTAGAACTACAGTAGCTACCTATGGCTCCTTGTTAAATTAATCCGAGTGGGTGGGTCCAAGCCAGATGGACAAGGGCTCATTTTCAGACAGCCCAAGCAGAGGACCTCTCCAAATGGGCAAGGCAATGTGTGCTTTAGGTACAGTTCAGGAAGTGGATCCTCTGCCCTTGCCCTTATTCCAGAACCCACGACTCACCTTCTTGGTTCCATAAAGGGTCTCCAAGAGCTTCTCCTGGGCCGTCTCAAACCGCTGATCCAGGCTGGATGCCATTTTCTGAACCAGGTTCCAAATCATGTAATTGTTCAAGATGCTGCAAAGGAATGGACAGAACCATAGTTGAAAGCCTAGCCTTGGCCATGTCTTCATGGGTGGGCTTTTTGGGAGCACACAAAATAGCCCTGAAGGGCCACCATTCAGCTCATAACCCTCATCCACCCTGTAATATAGTAGAGTCTTGTTGTGTGCAAGTCATTTCCAATTTACAGCAGTCCAAAGGCAAACCTATCATAAGGTTCTCTTGGCAAGGTTTGTTCAGATGGATAGTATTGTGTGCCTTCAAGTCATTTCCAACTGATGGCAGCCCTAAGGCAATCCTATTTTAGGGTTCTCTTGGCAAGGTTTGTTCAGATGGGGTTTTGCCATTGCCTTCCTTTCAGGCTGAGAGAGTGTTACTTGGCCAAGGTCACCCAGTGAATTTCCATGACAGACCAGAGATTCAAACCATGAATCCAGGTCTAAAACTCAAAGCGTGGCACCACATTGACTCTCTCTGCTATTAACCCAGTCGTAGCAGAGTTTGGAGATGTTAATGTTGTTGGCTAGAAGTCCCACAATTCCCAAGCCAGCATGTGAAAGCATATTCTATGCAGAACCTCTAGATCCAACATGTGCAAACTTCGACCTGTCTGGAATTCAGCTTAGGAATTCTGGGAGTTGAAGTCCAAAACACCTGGAGAGCTGAAGTATGCCTATACTTCATCTAAAAAGGTAAAGGTTGTCCCCTGACATGTCAGTCATGTCTGACTCTGGGGTGTGGTGCTCATCTCCATTTCTAAGCCGAAGAGCCAGTGTTGTCCGTAGACACCTCCAAGGTCATGTGGCCAGCATGACCACATGGAGCGCCGTTACCTTCCCGCCGGAGCGGTACCTATAGATCTACTCACATTTGCATGTTTTCGAACTGCTAGGTTGGCAGAAGCTAGGGCTGACAGCGGAAGCTCACGCCGCTCCCTGGAATCGAACCTGCGACCTTTTGGTCAACAAGCTCAGCAGCTCAGTGCTTTAACCCACTGCGCCACCGGGGGCCCCTATACTTGATCTAGATGCATGGAATGACCACAGGTCCAACCATAAATAGGAAAATGTGCAGGTACAACAGCACCAGGAGCTCCAATTTTGTTTGCTTTGCATTTAATGTTTGTTATAGTCCTAAGTTTCAGGGACTCTGCAGATAGGTGGCTTCTTTTGGCTGTAATCATAGGGCAAGCCACCTGTCAATTATAGTTAGGTTCCCTGGTCCACCCCCTTTTGGGTTTTTGGAGGGAATAGGAGCCTTTTTGGGTTCAGTCCACACAGAGAAGCTTTCCATGCAGGACATAATACCAAGAGCTCCTGTAGAAAGCTTCGTCTTCTACGGCTTGGCCAGGGAGATATACAGCCTACAGCTTGGTCGGGGTTATACAGCCAACAGCTTGGGATATACAGCCTTACAGCTCCTTTGCTGAGGGACTTCAGTCAGCCATCACTGAAACCTGAACTCCTTTTCCCTGGAAGTCTACAAAGCTCTGCTTGGTAAGGGTCACTTGCGGAAGCCAGAAGCAGTTGGTACCGGGTGCAGGGGCTCCACGCCAACAGAGGCAAGACAGACTGCCCAGATTAGAAGTTAAGGATTTCCCCATTAATTACAGTTAAGAAGATAGTGCCTGTTCCCAGTGAACAAGATTGCAAGCGCCAATAGACTGTTAAGAAAGCTTGAAAGTACCTGTTTGTTTTCATTAATAAAGAACATTGTTGAACCTTTAAGCAATCTAAAGACTGTTTTAAGGAAATCCAAGGGCCTTTAATCTGAGGCAGCCCCGGAGTCCCGTTGGGCACACAGAATTTATGTCCTGTCTACAGTCTTATGCACAGGCCCAGCGTGCGACAGCACATAAAAGCTCTTCTCAGATAATCATCTGGTACCTTTTGTCTGTATTATTGATGAGCTGGGAGACTTGCTCCAAATATTCTTTGCCATAAACCACCACTGGCTCCGCATCTGTTAGTTCAAGCGGTGAAAGGAAGGAGGAGATGAAGTCCAGCCAGTCAATGCCAGGGGCAAGAACCTGAAAAAGACAGGAATAGATACAGTACTTGGGGGTTTTTTTTATTCACTTTTGTTTTTGCAACAGGAAAATAATGGTGCCTGCCCGAGGGTTGTGGTGCCATGCAGTTTTTCCACAAGTTGAGAAAGCTTTCTTGGCTTGCTAAACTCCATCTGAAGACAGGAGATAGATCTAAACCACTGTTGGAGTCTCAGAAATAGGTTTGTTGCAACGGGAGAGGCGCATCGTGCCAAAAGAGCCCCGAATCCAATTATCCAAAGGACAGCTGCGTTCGTTTGTTCTGGCAAACTAATGAAGCATCTTGTGGCATCTTTATGACCGAGAGATTTATGTTAGCATGAGCTTCTGTAGATTACAAGCCAGTTCAACCCACAAACACTCACGCCAAAATAAATCTGTCACTTTTAAAGATGCTACACAACTCTTGAGTTTCGTTAAAAAACATCCAGCGAATGCAGTCATCTCTTACAGTTACCTTAATAATCTAACTAAATAAATGTATTGTTGTTAGCTTTCATGGCTGGAATCGCTGGGCTGTTGTGAGTTTTTTGGGCTGTATGGCCATGTTCCAGAAGTATACTCTCCTGACATTTCGCCTGCATCTATGGCAGGCATCCTCAAAGGTTGTGAGGTTTGTTGGAAACTAGGAAAATGAGGTTTATATCTCTGTGGAATGTCCAGGGTGGGAGAAAGAACTCTTGTCTGTTTATTGTCGAAGGCTTTCATGGGTGGAATCATTGGTTTGTTGTAGGTTTTTTTGGGCGATGTGGCCATGTTCTAGAGGCATTCTCTCCTGACATTTTGCCTGCATCTATGGCAAGCATCCTCAGAGGTAGTGAGGTCTGTTGGAACTAGGAAAATGGGTTTATATATCTGTGGAAAGACCAGGGTGGGACAAAGGACTCTTGTCTGCTGGAGCTAGGTGTGAGTGTTTCAACTGACCACCTTGATTAGCATTTGATAGCCTGGAAGTGTCTGTTTGACAAAGGATTCCCCCAGGCAGTAAAAAGACAGATCTTGAAGCTGACAGGCCATTAAATGCTAATCAAGGTGGCCAATTGAAACATTCACACATAAAACTGGGCTCTACAGGCCAATGGAGACTCCACCTCAGACATCAGAAGAGCTGCAAGACCGAGAACAAGCCACGAGAGTAAAGATGAAGATCCACCCAGAGGAAAAGTGTTCTTGCCATACATCAAGGGAACCACTGACCGCATAGGGAAGCTGATGAGGAAACACAACATACAAACCACTTACAGACCCACCAAGAAAATCCAACAAATGCTACGTTCAGCAAAGGACAAGAGGGATCCTCTCACTTCTGCAGGAGTCTAGCGAGTACAATGCAGCTGTGGACAAGTCTACACAGGAACCACCAAACGCAGCAGCATTGCCCAGACACGAATCCAGGAACATGAAAGGCACTGCAGACTACTTCAACCAGAGAAGTCAGCCATAGCAGAGCACCTGATGAACCAACCTGGACACAGCATATTATTTGAGAACACAGAAATGCTGGACCACTCTCACAACCACCATGTCAGACTACACAGAGAAGCCATTGAAATCCACAAGCATGTGGACAATTTCAACAGAAAGGAGTAAACCATGAAAATGAACAAAATCTGGCTACCAGTATTTAAAAACTCTAAAATTACAACAACAAAACAACAGAGAGTAAAAAATCAGGCACATCTAATCACCTCTCAACAAAAGATTCCCCCAGGCACTGCCAAGCCATCAAATGCTAATTAAGGTGGTCAGTTGAAACATTCACACCTAACTCCAACAGACAAGAGTTCCTTGTCCCACCCTGGTCTTTCCACAGATATATAAACCCATTGTCCTAATTCCAACAGACCTCACTACCTCTGAGGAAGCTTGCCATAGATGCAGGCGAAACATCAGGAGAGAATGCCTCCAAAACATGGCCATATAGCCCGAAAAAACCTACAACAACCCAGTGATTCCGGCCATGAAAACCTTCGACAAAGCATTTCTTTATTTGGTATTTTTCACTTTCACGGGGCTCCTGTGCCCCGAACCCAAGCAGAAGTGGAGGGATGACTATACTTATTGAGAGGAGCAAACTCTGCACGTGTTTCCCCCCTTTGATACGATTTGTTTATTGCTTTGAGCCAGATGTCCTTGTACGCAAGACAAAGCATGTGGCCACACCACCCTGCATGAGATGCTGCAAGGATGAGTGCTCAGTTTCCCCTCTTTCCAGCTCCAGAAAAAGTGGTGGTTGCAATCTCATTGGACTTTATTGTAAAGGAGTTATACAAGGTGCTCACCCTATTGGGAAATAGCTTCGGATCATTGGATAATGTTTTCAAGTTCGGATGATAATCTAGAGAGGACATGCAGCCTCAGTGAGAATGATAACCCTCCTTGGATTTTTATTGCAAACTTGAAAGGAGCTATACAACGTTCCAAACCTACTGATGGATAGAACTCAGCATCTTGGGAAACCTGTTTAAAGTTTGGACTAAAATCAGGAGTGGCCTTACTGATATGGATGCCACCAATTGCTGCTACCCATAAAACCCCCATATTATAGTAAGAGGATCAATTCACTTTTTCTTTCCCAGATGCTGAATCCATCCCCACCCAGACTCTCCATCCTGCAGCATCACTTTGCACCCAAGATTTCACTTGTCTTCCCGTTACCATGGTGATGTGTCGCTTAGCAACCAGTGAGTGAGGAAGGAAGCAGGTCTTGTTGCCAAGTGAGCTGAGATGATGGATGCTGAGCAAGGAGGGGCTGGATGGGAACATTACACAGACAGAATCTATGTACAGCCAGCCCTCTGTATCCACAGATTCAGCCTCCACTGGGTGGAAATATCAACCCCACCCCCCAAAAAGCAAAGCTTAATATTGCCATATAATGGCGATCAAGTATCCAAGGATTCTGGTACCCAGACTTGGGGAAATCAAGTTTTTGGACTACAAATGCAAGAATCCCTTCCAGACATGTCCATTAGCAAACCCTGAAACAAGCAAGGACTCTTATCCACTTTAGTAGGCAGGGCTCTTAGAAGTTTCTTCCTGTTCCACTGGACTGTTGATGTATGCAAATTCAATTAGGATATTAAATTAAATTCAACAGACATATTTACATTCTAATTGACACATCCCAGACCATTTACAGTGGCTTAGATCTCCCTCCTTTCCTGAGCCTTTCCACACAGCCCTATATCCCAGAATATGAAGGCGAAAAATCCCACAGTATCTGAGTGTGGACTCAGATAACCCAGTTTAAAACAGATATTGTGGGATTTTCTGCCTTGATATTCGGGGTTATAGGGCTGTGTGGAAGGGCCCAAGGAAGGAAGGACCACTGTAAATGGTCTGGGGTGTGTCAACCAACGAGGCAACCAACATCATATGCTTGCCATAGATGCAGGCGAAACGCCAAGAAAGAATGCCTCTAGACCATGGCCATATAGCCCGAAAAAACCTACAACAACTCAACATCATACAGTTTGAATGCCTGCTCCAAAATGCTTGAGATTGGAAGTGTTTTTGGGTTTGGAGGGTTGTTTGTTTTGGATTTTGGAAAGATCTGTATTTGTATACATGGCACAATGTCTTGGAGATAAGACTGAAGCCTAAACATGAAGTTTGTTTATCTTTCATATGCACATAATTTGATACAATACTTTAAATAATTTCATGCCTGAAGCAAAGTTTGTGTGTGCTGAATCATCGCAGAGCAAAGGTGTCCCTATTAAGCCATCTATGTGGACCATTTCAGATTTTGGAGTACAGTAGAGTCTCGCTTATCCGACCTTCGCTTATTCCATCTTATCCGATGTTCTTATCCGTCACCCCCTTTTTCCTCCAGCATTTCCCCTTTGATTAAAGGAGTGCTCTCCAACTCTCTCTCCATTCCCAATATGTGAGAAGGACAAGACAAAGAGAAGGAGAAGGAGGAAGGAAAGGAGGAAATGGGCACGACCAGAAGCAGAAGTGTCCTCCTTCGTTCCTTCCATCTGTGATTTCCATGCTCCTCTTCCACATCCGGGCACTTCCTGCTGGGCCGCCCTAGCCCCATTGCCTTTTTGTTGTTTATTTGTTCAGTCTCTTCCAACTCTTCGTGACCTCCTGGACCAGCCCAGGCCAGGGCTCCCTGTCACCACCCCCAGCTCCTTCAGAGTCAAGCCAGTCACTTCAAGGATACCATCCATCCATCCATCCATCCATCTTGCCCTTGGTCAGCCCTCTTCCTTCTTCCTTCCATTTTCCCCAGCATCGTTATCTTCTCCAAGCTTTCCTGTCTTCTCATTATGTGGCCAAAGTACTTAATCTTTGCCTCTCATATCCTTCCCTCCAATGAGCAATTGGCTTTATTTCCTGAATTATGGACTGGTTGGATCTTCTCGCGGTCCAAGGCACTCTCAGAATTTTCCTCAACACCACAGTTCAAAAGCATCTATCTTCTTTCGCTCAGCCTTCCTTCTGGTCCAGCTCTCACATCCATACGTTACTGTGGAGAAGACCATTGCTTTAACTATGTGGATCTTCGTTGCCAGTGTGAGGTCTCTACTCTTCACTATTTTATCGAGATTGGTCATTGCTCTCCTCCCAAGAAGGAAACGTCTTCTGATTTCCTGGCCACAGTCTGCATCTGCAGTTATCTTTGCGCCTAGAAATACAAAGTCTGTCACGGCCTCCACATTTTCTCCCTCTATTTACCAGTTATCGATCAGTCCGGCTGCCATAATCTTGTTTATTTATGTTTAAAGGCAACCCAGCTTTTGCACTTTCTTCTTTCACCTTGATTAGAAGGCTCCTCAGCTCCTCCTCGCTTTTGGCCATCAAAGTGGTATCATCTACATATCTAAGGTTGTTAATGTTTATTCCAGCAATTTTCACCCCAGCCTTGGATTCCTCAAGCCCCGCACATCACACGATGTGTTCTGCATACATGTTGAATAGGTTGGGTGAGAATATACAACCCTGCTGTACACCTTTCCTAATCTTGAACA